CAACATGATTGGTTATTATAACAACATGTTGAGAATGAGATGTTTACTGTATATATTTGCAAGAATGTTGTAAATACTGACTTTTAACACTTACATGGTGTTAAATCAAGCTGTGCAAAGAATGTAATTCACCTGAAATAGGCCCCTTTGAGGACAAGACCTGTGCTTTTTAGTGCAACATGATTGGTTATTATAACAACATGTTGAGAATGAGATGTTTACTGTATATATTTGCAAGAATGTTGTAAATACTGACTTTTAACACTTACATGATGTTAAATCAAGCTGTGTACAAAGAATGTAATTCTACCTGAAATAGGCCCCTTTGAGGACAAGACCTGTGCTTTTAGTGCAACATGATTGGTTATTATAACAACATGTTGAGAATGAGATGTTTACTGTATATATTTGCAAGAATGTTGTAAATACTGACTTTTAACACTTACATGGTGTTAAATCATGCAACATGATTGGTTATTATAACAACATGTTGAGAATGAGATGTTTACTGTATATATTTGCAAGAATGTTGTAAATACTGACTTTTAACACTTACATGGTGTTAAATCAAGCTGTGCCAAGAATGTAATTTCACCTGAAATAGGCCCCTTTGAGGTCAAGACCTGTGATTTTAGTGCAACATGATTGGTTATAGTAATAACATGTTGTGAATGAGATGTTTACTGTATATTTGCTAAAACCGGTTGAATACTGACTTTTAACACTTTGTTAAAAATCAAGCTGTGCCCAAAATGTAATTAGACCTAAAATGGGCCCCCCTGTGATTTTTTGTGGGACATGATTGGTTATCATAAGTACATGTTGTAAAATTGACCTATAGTTTATGTTTGCAAAGAAAGTTGTGAATAAGGAGCTTTTTGGTAATCAATTGGCAAGTAATTGAATTACTGTCCACAATGTATTGCAACCCTAATTGGGCCCCTTAAAGTTAAAACCTTGTAATTGATGTTGCATGTTTCTTCATCATGAATACCTGATGTAAAACTGACACTGTTTGTATGTAAATAAACTTATAGTTGTATATAAGTCATTATGGCACCTACTGATATTTCAGATTTCTTGTTATTTTTTCATGGGAACTGATAAAACCCATTTTTGGCCCCTCTGCATTGAAATTATGGCCTAAGATCATTTAAAAAATAGCTTTTTTATGCAAAGCCATCTTGTCTCTAAACAAATAACATGTGTTCAGCCAATTCTGTTTGTGTGCCAAAAACCACCCCTATCATACCTTGTCCTTTACAGGAGAGTGTTAACGGTGCAACTAAAAATAACGAAATGTCATACTGATATATCGTACGGGTCCAGAGGTACAGGCATGTTCCCCTAAATGGGAACATTGGTAGGATCATCGTGAAAATGAAACAAAACTATATTTTTGTTACACATCTTTTATTTCTTTGAAATTTAGTGAGCAAAACTTTCTTTGACACATAAATCGATGATGCAGGAATGTTCTGGGAAGAGCTAGTTATTGTAATGTGTGTTAAACAATCACATGAATTATGATGATGGGTATATAACGCAGCTGGAATGGGTTTTCTTCCCAAAATTTCAGCGACCACAATCATGTGGCAAGTGTTCTTGAATGTTAGTCCAGCCTTGTCACCAGGTCATCTGGTTCTAATGGGGGATGTGAATATCCATGTAGATTCTGTGTCTGACTCCTTTGCGAAATGCTTCTGTGATATCTTTCAATCGCTTACAGCACGTGTCTGGTCCAACTCATCGCTCAGGTCATACACAACTAGTCATAACAAATGATAGTTGTGATATTCTGGATGTCGTTGATGTTAGTGACAGGTATCTGATCATTAGACAGTTTTCTAATGACACTGAATCATCTGAGCTGCTACAGTCACTCTCTGATTCTTATGGAGCTGATGATCAGACTGATGTGTTAACTACTTTCTTATCACGAATATTGGACAAGCATGCTCCTCTGAGTCTAGTTCTGTTGTCATTCGTCCTTGTTCTGTTTTCATATGTTCCTTGTTGAACAGTCTTTTGAAGCTGGATTACAAATAGTACACTAGCCAATAGATTTGCCGGGTTTTTTCAACGCCAAGTTATGGGATATACGCCGAGAACTTGACATTAGACTACTCTGCAGAATCAGGTTTTCAATGAGTAATGTTTCAGTAGTACATATTTATCTGAACTCTCCTTAACCTATCCGGAAGAAATAAGGCAGGTTATATCCAAAGCTAAAGCAACTTCTAGCCTGGAAGCCATAACAACATGGCTATCTAAAGCATGCTTGGATTCTCTCATCAGTCCATTATCCAACTGAGGGATGCCACTGTTACCAAAGTTTTCAAACAGGCAGTCGTCACTCCTCTCATTGAAAAGGGCCAATTAAAAATCGGATGAGTTCAAAAACTACCGGCCAGTATCTAATCTGTCTTTCATTTCAAAATGTTTGGAGAAAATTGTTCCACGAAGGCTTGAAGAACACCTACTCAATGTCACTTAACATTGGTAACAGCAATGTCAGAACCACACCATATTTAAGAAATCTTGGAATCAAATTTCAATCCAGCATGTCCCTTGAAAACAAATGTCAACAACTTGAGCAAAATTTGCTTCTTCCACATTCACAACATCAGTAAAATCCGCCATCGTCTTGACCATGAAACGACACAACCTCTTATGCAGACTCTCATCACATCACGACTGGATTACTCCCTTTCTTCCATATTCCTTCATCTCTGATCACAAAGTTACAAGGAAACCAGAATGCAGCAGCAAGGGTTGTAACGCACGCTGAACTGAGCATTTAACACCTATCATGAAGGCCTTCCACTGACTGCCCGTGAATTTCAGGATTCAGTACAAGATACTTCTTCTAGTCCAAAACTGTGTCTATGATGAATCATCGTGTAACTATCTCAGAAGTCTTGTCAGCATGTACCAACCAACCCATACCTCCGTTCTTGTCGACTATCTTCGCCTGTCAGCCCCAATCATGAAATTAGGAGATAACATCATATTGGGCAATTTAGTTATTGAGTATTTGAAGCACGGGAATTCATTTGGACCGACGGCGTCAGCCAGAGGTTTCAAATTAAATATTCCCGTGCTTCAAATACTCAATAACACCCGGAAATTGGCCAACACGTGATGTTTATCGACATTGTAAACACAAAGTAAACCAAAGGTTTACGCACGTTTTTGTGTCTGCACTCATTGACACCGAGTATGGGTACAGCAGTGAAATGTCATCAGCCGGCCGTTTCGGATGTCTCCTATGGTAGCATCTGGAACTGTTCATCTGTGACGTCATTCGGACTTTACGTCACAATATGATTTTAATGACGTCATCACAGCCACTGACGACGTAACAATACAATGGTGTGAGCGATGTTTGTATGTATTAATACGCAGCGAATTTTCGGGAATCGAATACCATTTGATCATGTTTTTCAACCCATCAGATTAAAGAACACAGTGACTTTTGGTTTACAATCATCAATGGATGACCGAGCCTTCTCTGCCTCAGCTCCTCTACTGTGGAACGATCTTCCTCTTCCCTATAAGGACTGTTTCTGAAAAATCTCATTTTAAGACTCTCTTTAAGACACATCTCTTCAAGCAAGCCTTTGATATAGCTATTCTGAATGACTTTTCTATATCTCCTGTACACTGAGCAACCTATATGGATGGAAGTTATAGAAATATATTTATCATTATGTTTTACATATTGGAAAATAGTATGCATCAGAAAGGGTTCTGCGGTGATCATGGCACAGTCAGGCTGGTAAGGCTCATCATCAGCTCAGGGCCCTAGCCCCTAAAAGCAGCCCAGTGTCGAACCCACCAAGAACTTCTGCATTATCCAGGGTGTCAGAAGGGCTGTGTCCCCCGGGAGAACCCGGGCACCAAGAACAATAGGGAGCCTGACCACAGTGTCCTTGGGATGTAAGCAAGACATTTCAAAGGCGAGGTCCGGATATTTAGCATGCTTTTCCTTATTCTTGCCAATTACATTGCTGACAAAAGGAACAGAAAATTCAATGATATAAATAAAATTCATTGGCTTTATCAAAAAGGACAAGATATCTCATTCGAAAATAAAAGAATTGAACAGATCATTTGCTGTTTTTTCTTATCTATTAATGCAGTTTAAGTGAATATGTTGATTTTAACGATGATCCTGCCAATGTTCCCATATGGGGAACATTAAACTTCAATTCAAAATTTTGACCCTAAATTCCTGCTATCATGATAAAATTTCTTTTGCCATTTTATACCTACATCATTTGTTTATAAGGACATTTTAAAAAAAGTTTAAAATATGATGCAATTATATGGGGGTATGGGGGTGGGGCTGGGGTTGGTTATGATTAGTGGGGTTACACCGAATGTTTACTAAATACACTATACAACAGACAGAGGAGAGAGAAGTTTGTTGAACGTTAGATACTCACTGAAACAATTATGTCGTTTGATTATATGGAGTGTTAAAGAAACTTATTGAAATGGTTTAGTCTATGACAATTATTGCATTGCATGTATGCCACTGTTAGAATCAGGTGTGGGGAATATTACATTGGGTGTTTAACACTAATTTCGGGGTTTGGATTACTTCTGTGTTTGTTGGTTAAGGCCACACACGCTAATACTCAAGCTATATGAATAAATCGAGTCTGGAGCAGACAATCCAATGATTAACATCATGGCCCTTCAACACTGTATACGTTGATATACATTGACCGCTCCGATCCCGTTAGACCCCTCTTACAAGGCTTGCTGAAGATCAATTCTAACCCGGATTTGATTTGAGGAAAACAAATGGCAGAACAGAGTTGCCTCCCCTGCATTGTCAGCGCCGGAGTCGGTTAAGTTCACAGTTTTCTCAGAAGGTTTCTGTTGGGTTGGATCAATTCGCTTTCATATTAAAACGCAGTTGTTCTAGTGTTTGTTAGGACATGAGGCGTGTCACGTAGTCTGTGTTACATTGAATACACATGTCTTACCTGTGAAGGAATGTATAGCTGGAGTGATATGGACAGCAAACCCTCCGCTCCGGCTGTACGACTTGGACTCTGACCTACATACAGACGTGACGTCAGTATTCTGGGAAGTCCACTTTTACTTTCGTTTGTAACTTAAGTGTTCATAGCTGCACTAGACTAACGCTTAGTCTCTGAACAAACATAATTTTATTGTAACAAATAAACCCAATAATGACAGGCATATAACTACTCTCCCTTCAATCACTTATATTTATCATTTATAATGGGAAGGATTGTTTTGAATAATGTGGCTCGAGGTTCTTCATGACAGATTATTGTTGCGCAGTTTTGCACACACATATATATTTGTGTGACGATTTTATTGTGGATCATGTTAAAACTCATGATGGAAACAAAGCATGCCACTGTTGCCTCCATTCTCTTCCCAAAGAGGTTAATTGTCATATGTTCCTACGAACCTCTGTTCTATTACGGCCCTTTCCTGTTGCGAGTGTTCAGGATTCGTGATTGGTTGCAATCAGATTTAGTTGTGAAATCAGCGAAGTTGTTTCAAAAGTGATCATTCGCAAGGCCTCTGTAATTTCCGTAGGCTTCGGGAAAACTAGAACCTCTTCCCCTGCGCGATGCGCAACGTTTCTTCTAGACAGAACTCAGTCATGTAATGGCGGGTCAATGGCGTCTCCATCGCCCTCGTTGACAACGGACAAGCAAGCCATTAAATGGCTTGTGTGTCCAATCAACACACGTCCCCGGCAGAGGAGGGATATTTGTGGCCCCATATTTGCTTCCGTTAGTCAAGTTTGATCTAAGTCGATGTAACACGTGTTCTGGTTGGATAGAAAGCAGGGAGATAATTCGTGTTGCGATTTTTTTGCCGCCATGGGATTCTACGAAAACCGAGAAATATGGCCGTATTAGAACAGAGGTTCGTAGGAAGGTATGACAAGTAACCTCTGTGGGAGGAGAATGAGTTGTCTCAAGAGAGCCATGGATTTTGGACACAAGCATAATATCAAATTGTATTTTGTTGATGGTTCTGTAGTGCTGTACGGTACAAGAATAATCGTGCACCAAGCGAAGTGCCCTATTAAATCGGCGCGGACTCACTTGATTGTCTGGTCCAGACTCGATTACTTACAGACCACCACTGGGCTGTTTCTGAGTGCTGTGTTAAACAACAAAGTAGAATGATTGCTGAATTGTTCAGTTTTATACCAACTTTTGAAAAATGGGAAATGTGTTACCTGTTTGCGGTGTAAAGTTGTCAGTAGTAGAGAACGGGTACGCCGACACCCCTTTTGGTTGATTCTCATGAATATGCAGGAGAACTCATTCAGAGGCGATTGGATGCAGGACGTCACAGGTCAGAAAGGTTAATGAACCCGTGTTTCATCTAAAGCGTTCATGCTATTTTGAATGAAACCTTTCATTCAAGGTAACAACAAAAGCCTAGTCCATGAAAGCCTTGTAATACAGTCGGGCTGTAACCTGATTCAAACAGCGCGCGCTCACAGACAGCCCGACCTACTTTCTCCAGCTTTCTATTCAAGTGGGAGTGAGTAGGGTTTTACGCCGATTTTAGCAATATTTCAACAATATCACGGCAGGGAACACCAGAAATGGGCTTCACACATTGTACCCATGTAGGGAATAGAACCCGGGTCTTCAGCGTGACGAGCTAACGCTTTAACCACTAGGCTACCCCATCGCCCTATTCAAATGAGAGGGTGTATGTTGAAAGTACACCATACCACAATAGAGGCTAGTTGTGTTGCTCTAAGACATTGTGGTCAGTCATTCAAAAAATATACATCTTGAACATAGAGCGATGTTTCTTTAAAACCTATCGTTTCAGGCATAACTCAGATATCTGTGCTATGTTGCGCCAATAGGCCTAAGTAGGGTCCTACAAGACCAAAATTATTTGTACAGTTATAAACCTTCCCTTAGCAACATATCTGTAATAGCATGTGTTCAATGGTTGAAGCAAAAAACGAGTAAAAACTTAACTTTAGTTATGCCTGAAACGACAGGTTTTAAAGAAACATCGCTCTCTGTTCAAAATGGATATGTTTTGGATGACTGACGTATCGGAGTGAACCTATTTTATTAAATCAATCAACACTGAAAACAATTTCTGAGTGAACTCACTCACCTATCATAGTCATATGCTTACCAGAGTGACCAGGCGTCATGAAACCTTAACAACTCCGGATAACCTAATTCACATTTTAACACTTCCCGACCAGTTAATCCTTTACAAAAACAACAGACGACATCAAAGGTACACCGTCTGTCCACGGCCTGCGAATACAAAATTTCAGGTTGTCCACGTTCTGAGAATGAACCCACACATTGTAACCATGTGGGCAATCGAACCCGGGTATTTAGCGTGACGAGCGAACGCTTTAACCACTAAGCTACTCCACCGCCCAAGACCTTCAGTAAAAAGACAGTACGACGATGGGTGATATGTTACACACTGTTCTTCCTTATTTTTATGTTCATTTTGTCTATTTCCGCTGTAGAGGTGTGAATTATCATGTTACTGTCATTTTAGAAGCAATGCCCCAAGGAATAAAGAAAGAATTATCTGTTAATCTTTATTGGCGCATAAGGTTGAAAAATATATCTACAAAACATTTCCGCGCTCAGAAAGTGAGTCTTTTGAAACATTTGTAAAAATATGTAACTATATGTGAGAATAATGACCACAGACCAGGCTAAACTAAAACATATAAAAAATATAAATTATTAATATATATTCTAAAATGAAACTGTCTACGGATAAACCCTAAATGCAGTAGATGCGGTTTATTATCTTCATTTGATATCTTGCAACCCAACAGTCAATGAGACAAATGCAAAACGAAAAGCTTACAAACAACCCCGGTGGAAATTCCCGACACAAATCATACTTCCACCATGGCTTCGGTAAATACTGGATTGTAATTGTTAATAAAAGTCTTTCAGAGGTACATAATCACATTATACCTCTGATTTTCCAACACAGCTATGTATTCTTTTTAAAATCTTAATAACGCGGTTATGGTAGAATGGAGACAAACATACTGTGTTGAAAAACCAGAGGTAAATAACGAAATTATAATAGCTCTAAATTATTTATTTAAAACCTCACGCTAATTTAGAGCCAATAAAATCTCGTTTAATACCTCTGATTTTCCAACACAGTATGTTTATTTCCTAAATATTCAATTGACAAATCTGGAAAAAATAAACCAATGCTTTATGATGTAAGCAACCTTCATGATATAATACGACCCTTATCAATCAAGTAGCCTCTATCCAAAGGTTAGACTAACGCTTAGTCCCTGAATATATATATATATATATATTTACAGTAACAAATAATTCGAAAAAGCCCCAGTTAGTTGTGAGATTCAGGCTGAAAATGAGGAAATCTAGACTTGCTTCATTTAAGGCTTTAGCATTGCAGGGAGGGCTAGGCAGTCAGGAAAATAATGTTGCTCAGGGACTGTGAGACAGACTAACCAAAAGTAGATGTTGATAGTTTTTTCTCAAGATGTAAGCAACCTTCAGGATACAACACGAGCCGTATGGATTACGACGTTTCTAACCAAAAGAAGATGTTGATAGTTTTTTCTCATGATGGCCCATGTTACTGAAGGGTGAAATACATCCAACTATCCGCACAGTTTCTCAGTGGTAAGTACGCCAACCAGACAATTCCAGACAGTTACTTAATAAACTTACAAGCATCTATTCCTGGGTAAACGCATAACCGCACTTACAGTAAATTAGTAAGTGTAAAAAACAGTACCTATTAATCTGACATAATAAAATTTGAATATTTGAAAACATTTTTCTTCAAATATTTTGAGTGTGTTAATATTTAATGGACTGCTTATTGAGAAGAATATTTTTAAATATATCAAAGAAACAGTAATTCTTATTTTGCTAAGCAATGTGAGTGTTCTGTTAAGAAGATACGTTGAGATTCGTTTCATCCCAATTTTGCAAGACATCATTGACACGTAACTCCTTTACACTTTTGTGTCAGTTAAAACAATTATATTCTACAGATTGATGGTTTCCTCTCTCATTAAACCTTTAAGCACATCCCTTGGCTTCTCCCCCTGCAGATTTGACAGACATTGTCGATATGACAACCCTTTCTTGCCTTCTCTACACGTCTTGAGGTGCGGGTCATCATCTTTGTGTTTCAGCCAGGCGATTCTGACGTGAGCTCTTTTCAAATCGTTGCGTAAGTTTTTCAAACATTTGCTGATGTCTTGATTGCTTCCACCATTAAATATGCTTCGAAGACAAGTTAATATGGGCGTCTTCTTTGGATCTCCAACATAAATTATTTTCCCCTTCCACAGGATTGTGAACACGCCACGCTTCTGTTCTGCTGAGGTGTCTCTTAACTTGAGAATACTCGACACCCTCATTCTCAAATAACGTCTTACAACCTTTCTGAAACCAACAAAGGTAAGCTCAGAAATTTGTTAAATCAATTAAAATCAATCTTTATGTCACAACAAACTAAGTAACTTAGGCTCAGTATTATTCGTTACACTGTTATACTGAGTCCAACAAACCCCAGTAGAAGGTCGCGCCAGCTGTCCTTTGAGCGACCTATGACCGTCCAATCAAACGCGAGACGGACGAACGGAATTCACCAATCAGAAAACGGCTACAAATTAGGGTTCAAATTGGCGACGAATATCTGAATTTTACAGGTGGCTCGCTTAGGGTTTTACAAATTTATTTGTATATATAGCATAGCACCCCTGGCACATTTTACAAATTCACAATTTGTGTCCTTCACAGCTTGCCATACTGATCAGCTAGCTGCCAGCAGGTACATCCTGGGCTCTGACGGCTCCTGCAGTCTGTGCACTCAGGTGATATAAATGCTGCCCTTTGCCTGGCACACAACATGCTGGCAGTGGCAGCCCTCACCATGTAGTTTTCCTAATTACAGGTATGCAATTGCAAGTTTGTTTGAATGAATTGTTTATATCAAAACAATATCTCATATTTATAGGCAGGTGTAATCCTGTGTTCTAGTAAATATACTCAACAACAAAAGTTCTTGTGACACATACATTTCTTTTATAAATTTGATCAAGTTTAACCCAAACCATTAAAACACGTCCATAATACGATAACAGAGCAACTTTTAAGTGACTGTTTGAAAACCAGGTGAAATTGACTTTGCACGTGCAATTTCGTGAAAAACGAGTCAGTCTGTGGGTATTTAAACATGAGTTGCGGATAGATCTTTTTCATTGTGGATAAATACACGTTCAATGAGTGTTGCCTGAAAAAACATTGAATTTCGAACCACAAGTAAACTCTTTTGATGTCAAGGCTTTCTGAAAATGAACGGTGGCGGGCACTTGGAATGCTCAAAGCCGGAACCGCGCAACGGGAAGTTGCTCGTCGGTTTAATGGAACACTGTATGGAACTTGTGGTAATAACATCAGCAAATCACTCACGTCAGAGACCGTCCCCGCAGTGGCTGACCAGCACTGGGGGTCTTACCCGGTATTAGACTGTGAACTGTGATTTTAGCATGACAACATTCACATGGCCATCTTACCGTTTACAAACGTGTCTAATCCAAGATAATGGTCAACATTCACAAGTCAGGTGTCTGTTCTGTACATTACATGTATTTGTATTGCATTTGGTTTCAGATTTTTTCTTCTATATCTTTGAATGTGTCACAAGGACTTTTATTGTTGAGTATGGATTCTATAATGGTTCAGTGACCATGAACTGTATTAATTATTTCTATATAATAATCAAGTATGTGTCACAATGATAGTTTTACTTTGCCCTATTAATGTTCTATGCAAGACACATTATGCTGGCAGTGGCAGTCAGGTACATGTAGTTTCCGTGATTACAGGTTTACAAATGGTAAGCTCAGATTGTACCCCAACTGGCAAAATAAAAGATTAAAATACCCAGCGCCTAAGAGACCAATCGCCGGGTTTATGGTGCAGGAGCGGATGCAGGACATATGTTTATATATCGTTTACATTTTGCAATTGTATCATGTTTAATTTTATGTTATGAGAGTTATAAATGATTATTTTTTCATGCACAAAGATGGAAAATGAGAACTTTTTAATCTCTGAGAATACAAAATGTTGATCTTTTCATGGACAATTATAAAATATGAAATATTAATGTTCAAAATGTAACTCAATTTACGCAATAACGCCGCGAAAAAGGTATCGTGATACTTATGAAACTTATATGTATCGTGACATCCCTTGTGTGCAGGTTATGGGGAAATGCTCCTCGAGGGAAAAACAACCCTGGATCACTGTTGATTACGCAGGATAAACTATCAGTTAAGGTAAAACGTTGACAATCAAGATGACAAAATAACACTTTCTAAAAGCTAAAATTTTTACCTAACCTGAAATTGTACCTGGATTACTGTTCGCGATTCATCCCGGTGAGGCGACTCATTTCGCCTGGAGGGACCAGGCTGGGGTGGGACCGTGGTCCAGCCATCTGGTCTTCTGGATGGACCCGGTGTTGGTCTGCCATCTCTCCGTCCCGGAGATCGTGCCTCCTCCTCCCCAGGTTCTGTCTTGATGATGAGTTCCGGTCGAGGTTCCACCCTCTCATGTTGACCTGCCGGACACCCGCAATACGTACAGTTGTGTCTGAGGACAGGCTGGGAATACTGTGGACACTCCTCGGGGCAGTCCTTACACCGACCCCGAACAACCCCGTACTTATCTCTGTTGATGTCCGTGAACACTGCCATGTCTAGGAGTAGAACAAAATGTATACAGTAAGTTCGGCTGTTTGCGAGATCTGGAACGGTAACGGTGAAAAAGAGTTAAAACCCTGTCGCCACCATAAAAGCAAGTCATTACTGAATGTATCGTTGAGGCGCATCAAATAATATTCGGAATTGGGGGGATCTCGGGAGTCAAATGATCAGTCAAACATTTTGTAACTTTCGACACTAAAACGTTTTGGTTGATCTTGAAACTGTTGTTTTGGTGTAAACGAGTTCTGAAAATTAACAGTTATTACATTTTTTATTTCAGTTTTCACCAAACACCAACACGCATGTTTTTGATGTTTAATTGCATATATAATATATTTACATTGATATGCGTGCAGTGCTTGGATGAATAACATCGACAGCGAGACGGCGAGCCTGACCACCCGAGCCTGACCACCCGATCCCGTTAGTCGCCTCTCACGACAAGCATTGGTTACTGAAGACCAATTCTAACCCGCATCTTCACGGGTTGATTAAAATCATGATCCTCGAACACTGCCATAAATTATGAACGTTCCCTAAAAGCAATAAAAAGGAAAAGGAAACAACCCTGACAAGGGCTGGAATAGACAGTATAATGATATTGACCAAGAGCGTTCGTCGGGATGCTCTCGGATGGTATACAACATACGGAAGACAAAAGTCAGCGATAAAGTTGAAGACATGAAGACAGAGACCCCTATGTTTATTATGGTTGGGGAACAAATGGTCCAAATGGTACAAGTTGATGGTGATCACGTGACAGATCGCACACCGGGACCGAGTGGCCAATGCCCCCGACGCGGGGACCCGCTCTGTCACTTTAATAGACGCACAGGCAGTAGCCAGACGGCGATTCTTCATCGTCGACGTAGTCGTTGGTGAGGCGGCGGCCATGGCCGACGCCCCGACTAGCCACACAATCCGTCCGCTTCTGTCGATGATTTGAGTCCGTCTCCTCGCCTCGTCTCCCTGCCTGATCACGTCAGACAGGTTATATAGATGGGGACATTACGCCACATTGTGCAAGGTCACAAGGGTTACGGAAGTTCAAAAGTTCAATTCTAGCCCGTATCTTCACGAGTCGATTAATATCATGATCCTCGATCACTATATACGACATGTATCAACCAACCACAGGCAAACTGTAGCGCAAATCGCGTTGCGCAGCACATAGAAAATGACCTGTCTTACTACACGCGAGCGAAACGAGTGGGAAGACTGGTCATTTTCTCTATGGTGCGCAACCGTATTTTCGATACATTTTATCTGTGAACCTGCTCACGGAGCCTGACCATCCGATCCAATTACAAGGGCGTAGCTACCATAATCGCCCGGGCTTACACATGATTTTTGCTGTGAAAGTTGGGTAAAGCCCACAATACTAGCTAAATATAAAGATTTGCAACCTTTGGACAAATGGCTTGCTACGCGCCTGCATTAGACGTCTCTAACAAAGCTTGCTGAAGAGCAATTCTAACCCGGATATTTTCGGGTATTGATTTGAGGAAACCAAGACCAGAACAGAGTTGCCTCCCCTGTATTCTCGAAGCCAGTGTCGGTGAAGTTCACAGTTTCTATGAAGCTTTTTGTTTTGTTTATAAATTCAGCTTTCACATTTGAACGCAGTTGTTCTAGTGTTTGTTAGGATATCAAGCCTGTCACGTATAGTCTGTGTTACATTAAATAAACATGTCTTACCTGTGAAGGAATCTATTGCTTGGGTGACCTGGTCACCACGCCTACCGCTCCCGACTGTACGACAGGGCCTCTGACCTACATACAGACGTCAGTGTTCTGTTTGTCTACTCTTGCATTCGCGGGAAGCCAACCCTATCAGCCCTCAATCGCCGTAACACACTCGATTATTCTCAGTCAGCGTGCACATTTGTGATCATGGAAATTGGAAAAAAAATTGTATCTGAACACAATTTCTTCGATATGACAACAAGTATTATTTACTTGACTTATGTACAGAATACTAGGATATAATGTTACGGTTTATTAATAAACGGCAGTGGGAGTATTCTCTGATGTATTTTACGTCACACAAAATGATTTAATGTTAGATATATATAAAACTATAGTTTAACTTGTTTTAATTGCATTGTTTGCTGAAATCCTTTAACAAACTAAAGTTATTTTCAACACAAATAAATCAAAAGAGTAATCAGATGTTACATAGAATATGGTCGTTATATTGACTTCAAACAAGAATTTCCAAATAGAATCTCTAGTTCATCTAATATAATATTGAAAGACTAATACTGGCATTTCTATACTTAAAGACAACGTCAAGGAGTTATGCGACCTGAAAACATATTTATTTGCTCCATAGAAGTTATCAAATGTATACAACCGTAACCTAAAGTCCTGTCAAACAATGGCTGCAGTGTTTTCCGTTTTCAGGACACTGCAAATGCAAATAATTTTATTACATATTTATAAGAAGCGTTTAGTAACAAACGTTGGATTATATAGGCATTTATGTTCATTTAAAAGTAAAATCTAATTTTATTACCTACGAGAGCGAAAATAGGGGGGTTCATATTTTTCATACGATGCCGTAGGGCAAATTATTACCCACGTGGTCAACGTATGGGTAGTTGCATACTAATCTCGTACGTCACACGAGTGTCGTATCGCGTTGACCTGTGTCGTAACGACTTGACCTGAGATTTGATTGGATAACCGATGACCTCTCAATTAGAACTACTTGTTCATTCATAACAAACACGTGAATTCATTCATTCTACAACTTAGATGCATTGTGGGAATGTAAACATTGAGAACGTTGCCGTATCGCTGTCTAATTGTGAGTCGAACTGAGACATTATATGCGTCGAAAAACATAGACGCAAAGTTTCCACCAGTGATGATAGCCGAGTGAAGCAACTGCAAACCAAGAAACAGAGTGCTTCGGAGTAGTATAATGTAGGAGGCTGTACGAGGCGATGACAACTGACATGCATCGTGACGTCGCTTACCAAGGGGGCAGACGAGCAAGGCGTAGTGACGTCATTAAACTGTGACGTCAGGCAAAAGTGTACTACAGAACAACATTCTTCCGCAACCTGTTTATGAAACCGGTTTCGGTTTGAAACCATAAAAATAACAAAAATACGCTATTTTGTCAATTTACAGCATGTAAGACGTGGGTAATAAATAAAATACCACACTCGGTCTCATAAAATACGAATTATACAAAACTCGTGACCGAGGTATCTGACCGAGCGAAAGCGAGGTCAGAAACCATAGGAAGGACACTCGTTTAGTATAATTCGTATGTAATGAGACCTCGTGTAGTATTCACTATTTATTACCCACGTGGTCAACGTATGGGTAGTTGCATACTAATCTCGTACGTCACACGAGTGTCGTATCGCGTTGACCTGTGTCGTAACGACTTGACCTGAGATTCTAACGATTTGATTGGATAACCGATGACCTCTCAATTAGGTCACATTCTGACGTAACTATTTTTTCATTCATAACAAACACGTGAATCCATTCATTCTACAACTTAAATGCATTGTGGGAATGTAAACATCGCGAACGTTGCCGTGTCGCTGTTTAATTGTGAGCCGAACTGAGACATTATACCCGTCGAAAAACGTAAACGCAATGTTTCCACAAGTGATGTTAGCCGAATGAAGCAACTGCAAACCAAGAAACGGGGTGCTACGGAGTAGTTTACTGTTGGAGGCTGTACGAGGCGATGACAACTGACACGCATCGTGACGTCGGTTACCAAGGCAGTGACGTCATTACAGTGACGTCATGCAAATGTTGTACTACAATGCAAAACTCTTCCGCAACCTCTGTATGAAACCGGTTTCGGTTTGAAACCAAAATATTAACAAGAATACGCTATTTTGTCAATTTAATGCATGTAAGACGTGGGTAATAAATAAAATACCACACTCGGTCTCATTACATACGAATTATACGAAACTCGTGACCTTCCTATGTTATCTGACCTCGCTTTTGCTCGGTCAGATACCATAGGAAGGACACTCGTTTCGTATAATTCGTATGTAATGAGACCTCGTGTAGTATTCTCTATATATCACTTTGTCATGGTGACGTGACGTCATGAATAATGCTATGACGTCACATTTCTTCTATGACGTTGCGTTCCACATGCGGCGACGGCGGGTAGCCAGCCCGTGTTTGAAAGTAGATTTGGGTTTATTTTCCTCTATTTGACGACTTCGGTAATAAATAGAATATTATATGAGTGCCAATGTCTTACTATGTTTACGACACGAGTGCCTAAATGTTGGTATTTCCCGAGCGACAGCTATCCTCTATGTATGTTACGTTACAGGAAGGACGTATATTCGTCATAGATTTCTTTTTGCACTTACAATCATACGACAACGCAATAGGGTAAATGTGCATGTTGAGGGAGGATGAGTGAACAGTGATAATATAGAGATGTCATGGTTGATGAGGGCATGAGTGAGTGAATTTAGTTGTACGCCGCACTCAGCACTATTCCAGCTATTTGGCGGCGGTAACCATCCCAATGACGTGACGAGGGTTATCTCACATTCAGAGTTACTGACAATACTCAATACAAAATGAAACCATAGGCAAACGATGGTTATAACGAACGCACAGGGACCGCTAAAGTTAGTTCGTGTTAACCGTAGTACGACTTAACCGTAGCTCGTTATATGCATTTCAACTAACATAGACTGTCACAGCATCTGGCGGGGGCCGAAAGGAACAGATCCTAAAGTACTGTCGGAAATAGAAAACAAAATCTGTTTTCTTTTCGCATTTATATCTACAATTTATGTAGTTATATTTGAAAGTGTGAAATATCTGTTAAACTAAGTTCGTCTTAACTACAGGCTCAGTAGCAGGGAGGTAGGTAACGTAGAAAGAGGACTTTACTGAGATGAAATTAGTGCAGAAATTAGTAATGCGGGTTTTTTCGGAGTCTAAAGTGACTTATTTGGAACAAACCATGGCTTTATGCAAATAGTGTGCGATGATATTGCATTACAAAGGACACTTTTTAAATGCCCATTTTGAAATTAAACTTCATTATAAAAGATAGCTGACGTAAAAAATAACGACTTTAATACTGAAACTATTAAAGATGCAGCTACCATGGAGTCTCACTGCCATTATAAAAAGAAACAGGTAGGAAGGGTCTCAAAAGCAAAATCAGGACGGGTGTCGCAGACGGTGGTTGGGGGCGGCCCGGGGAATAGAGATATCAGCTGAGATAAGAAACTGGGGAAGCAAACGGCATGTCATAACAATTTACAAATAATATCCAGTCCTGTCGATCTTCGGGTGGTCATGCCACCTATAATATTTTGAGCCATTCAATACGATGGCTGATTTAAGTTTTTCTATGGGTATCATACTGTTTTACATATCTCAACATAAACTTTATGAAAGAAAGACACGTAAGATGTTAATCAACAGATGAGACATATAAAACACACATGAAAAAGTATAAAATATCTTTGAGATGACCACTTCTTCCTGTAGGCAGCACATGCATTTCATTCTGGAAGGATTGGGCTTGGTGACTAGCTCAACAAGGTAGTCTGGAGCCGTATGATGGTAACACTGGTAGGAAAGACTCAGGACCTTGAATTCTGGCTCTGATTGGTAGTCATTGCAGAGTCTCAAGAACTGGCGTTATGTGGATCCTTGAGGGAACATTGCTGACAAGTCGAGCTGCAGAGTTTTGTTCTTTCTGGAGTTTTGATAGACGTTTTTCCGGAAAGCCTGTAGAAGATGCTATTACAGTTGTCAATCTTTGACAGAACCAGAGATGGCACTAGAGCATGAACCGCCTCCGCGGTGTAGTGGTTAGAGCATCCGCCCGGAGAGCGGAAGGTCGCGGGTTCGATCCCCGACCGCGTCATACCAAAAGACGTTAAAATATGGTACTTGTTGGTCCCTACCTGGCGCTCGGCATTAATGGGTACAAGAAGGACTGGTCGGCTCGGAGTCAGTATAATGTGTCTGAGTGAGGTATTCATGCTTCACTGCGGCATGGTATCTCAGTGGGCTAGCACTATAAAACCAGCTTCAGTCTGGGCTGTAGACTAAGGCTTAGTCTCTGAATATATATAATTTTGATAGTAACAAGCAAGCCCATTTATATTGAAAAGGAGCCCTAGGGAGACCAGAGATTCTAGACTTGCTTTATTTAGGGTTTTAGCACTGCAGAGAGGGCTTGGCAGTAGGGAAATTAGTGTGGTTCAGGTACTGTGAGACAGACTATCTGGGCTAGTACAAGCAGCCGCACAGACACGTACACATACACATACACACGCATGCACGTCGTCATATGAGCGAAATATTCTCAAGCACGACGTTAAACCCAATTTCACCTCTCACCTCACTAGAGCATGAGCTGTCGCTGTAGTAAGAGAGCTTCTGATGGTGCTAATGGAAGTAACAGGTTGTGCAGACTGTGTCAATATGAGCTTTTAAAGAGAGATCACAGTCCACATGAAGTCCAAGATTTTTTACGGCTTTCGAAAATGGAATGACAGTGCTGCAAACTGTGAATGAGTTAGTCATCACTTGATGAAGATTCTTGCCGGCAAACAACGCCTCGGTCTTCGACTCATTCAGTTCAGCAAATGTGTCATCCATGTTTCTACGTCCACTTGTACAGTCGCTCACACATTTGCTCTGCAGTACTGGGATTGCGGGAATCGGACAACTGGGTGTCATCTGCGTAAAAATGGTGGCTCACATCATGTGTACTGATTACATCGCCAAGATCTCTGGCGTAAGGCGTAAGCAACACAGGCCCTAGAACCGATCCTTGCCGTACTCCACAGGATAAAGGGCTTTTTTTAGATGCATGATTATTTATGATAACTCACAGCTGTCAATCGCTGAGACTTGAAACAAACCGTGATAGTGCCATTCCGGCTATTCCAAATGAAGTCTCAAGTTGTCTCAGAAGTGTATGGTTATCAAGAGTGTCAAAAGCTGCTGATAGGTCAAGAAGTACAAGTAGGGCAATCTTTCCGCTGTCAACCGAGCAAAATAAATCATTCATAACACGAATGAGTGCCGTTTCCGTACTATGACGTGGGCTATAAGCAGACTGGAACATTTCCATAAGTCCGTGCACTGTAAGATGGGAGTTGAGTCTCACTTTCACAGCCGTTTTAACAAGTTTGGATAGAAAGGGTAAGTTGGAGACAGGACGGATATTTTTCAAGTCATTTTGATCAGATCCCGCTTTTTTTTATTAATGGTCTGATGACCGCCTCCTTTGGGGTGTAGGAACCGCGCCTGAAGTTAAACTCAAATTTACCAGTTTAGTTATAGGAACAATAAGATCATAAGTGAATTCTAACAGAACGTTGGTCGTCATAGGATCCAAGACACATGTCGTTGGCTTACTATCCTTAATCAGTTTGAACACTTCCACTTCCGTGAATGGTTGAATACAGTCCATGACAGAACCATCAAACTGGCATGTAGAAAAGTTTTTATTGTCCTTCATCTCACTTCTCAATCTTGCACTTTTAACGGCTTGAAATAATTCATAACAAAGTCTGAAATGGATATACTTCATATTTTGTAAAGTTCTCAAACTATTCATCACCATGAACATCCAGGTTAGAATTGGTCTTCAGTAACCCGTGCTTGTCGTAAGAGGCGACTAACGGGATCGGGTGGTCAGGCTCGCTGGCTTGGTTGACACTTGTCATTTGTGTAGATGCTTGTGACGTTTGTCTCGTCCAGGCCCCGGGATCATGAAAATGTCTTAAGTCCATATTTTGTCTTCAGTCTTAAAATTTTGACTTAAGACAAAATTTAGTCTAAAATTTGGGATCACGAAGCTCGATCTTTGAGAAAATCTACAGTCTAAGACCAAATTTGATCTTAAGTCCTAAGACTGCCCCTGAGTAGACTTAACACAATATTTGTAGCATTAAAAATGGCTGAAGTGATTCGCCTCATTCGTAGGATTCGTTCTAAGAGAAATAGACTACATATTCAGAGGACTTTCATGATCCCGGGGCCAGACTCAATTTGTACATTTGTATAACTGAAATATTTGCGTCACTAAAGAACAGCCAAATAAAATCAATACAATTTATACACGGAGAGGCTAAATTTTATAAGGAGCAACATACCTCCTCACCGACTCAAATAAATGTTGGTCACGAGTTGGGAAACTTATTCACATTGCTGTTTGAGAGGAGCGCTGACATGGACGATAGTGGCCGTAGTTGTAAGTAACTGTTTATTGATGTTGTTTTAAACAGCGTTGCTTTATAAAATCCAAACAGAAATCGTTAAAGCGTATTTTGTTTGTATCATGACTAAATGCCTGACTGATAGCCACTGCACTGGTTAAATCTATGCTCGTCGTTCGAGGCCACTAACGGGATTGAAAGGTCAGGCTCGGTTGGTAATGCACGTTATCGTATCCATATTGCGTTGATTGATGCTTGTGATGTCAATCAACGACCCAGACTCGACTATATGCAGACTGCCACCATAACACTGAAATGTTTAGAACTACCAAACAAAGCATACAATTGATCAGCCTGACCGATAACGACTACACTGGTTAAATGCAATTATAAAGGTGGGTAGTTAAGTAGAATATTTGTAAACAATGAGCCAAATAACGTATTATATGTACAGTTCTACATTCAAATTTCGGGATAGTGAATTATTTTGTGGGCTAGTAACTTTCAGGCGTAGGTCGTCAGCACTCCTGTTTGCCGTGGGTTGCGCCTCGGTGGAGGATGGGATTCCAGTGGATATTTAGGCAATAACTAACAAGTGACGGGGAATGACAGATTATGTTTCCCGAGTTATATTAATTGCGTAATTCTCGAGCCATGGCGAGAGAATTACATAATTACTATAATAGGGGGAAGATAGTATGTTATTCCCCGTCACGAGTTGGTTATTGTTTTTATTACCCAGATCAGTTTTCGATCTAAAAATCGCTAAAATGAAAACAGCGTTCTCATATAGGAAACCCGCGGCGTGGGGGAATCCGCATATCCCTACGCGTTGATTGGCTATTTTATTTTCGGAAACAGCCAATCAACGTTCACCAAAGGTGTAACCTCCCTAGGGACTTCCAGGAAAACACTTCCCTGTGTCCTCCTTCCCATACATCCTCGATAATCTCCAGGGTATACGTGTTGATCACTCTCCACTATACCCTGGATGCATCCACGGCTTGGCCCGATGATTATATTGCCTCCCTTTGCTGGCTCTGCATTCTCACAGTAGCCAATCAGCTAAGCTGACGTTACATCCGAGCTTGCCAGCGTCAACAAAGATAGCGGTCGCAGTCGCGAAGGTTTGTTCGCAGTGCCACTCAGATTTTTGAGGAAATAATACAGACAAATTGACAGATCTAAAACTTTCCAAAAATATATAAAAGAACTCCTTCTACCTCTTTCAGAGTACCTCTGCATCAGTTGTGTTGCCAAGTTTAAACATTTAGATAATTTAAGAAGCGAAAGTGAGTTGTGATTGGTTCGCTCAACTTCCCAGCGTAGACACCTGATTAGATAAAAAGCCAGCCAAGGGTGGTAATAAAATCATCGGGCCAAGCCGTGGATGCATCCAGGGTCTAGTGGAGAGTGATCGTAACGTATACCCTGGAGATTATCGAGGATGCTTCCCATATGGCTATCTGTGATCTTCTAGTTTGTTTACTGTCCTTCGTTGACAGGGTTTAAAATTTGACTTTATATATTAGGACTCTATAACTTGTTTCAGCCATGATATGGCTTAACTTCTGCCAAAATCTTAACTCACTCACTACAACTTTCAGTAACAATGTTTCCCTGTTTATTAGGAGTTAATATGTATTTTGTATAATTGAGTGAATGGGTGATTTTTCCGGCGGGGGACACCAGAAATGGGCTTCACCCATGTGGGGAATCGAACCCGTGTCTTCGGCGTGACGAGCGAACACTTTAACCACTAGGCTACCCCCAATGCCCTTATATACTACCCATCAAATGTTTAGACTCACTTAAAAGCACTCACTATATGTTATGTATATATGTATGGTTACATCGAAGATGATTTTTTCTTCACTAACTTGGGGAACCAACTGAAAACCTTATGCAGATGAATTGCAGGAGGATCATGCATAAAAATTCATGAAAAGCATGTGCAAATAGCATGCATGTGAACAGCTGCATTTTGGTGTAAAGTTTTGTTACGAATTCGTCAATTTTCATCATTTATTGAACTCATCACAATAATCTTTTCAACGTTACAAATATGTTTTACAATACGCCAGTTCATGTACCTTTAAACAGTATGGAAAGTTTTGCAAAATTTACTTTAGAACAGTTGACTTAAGTAAATGGCTACATTTACACTAGTGAATCTAAACGTTTGATGGGGAGTATGTAACTGTATGGGTGACAACGTTCGAGAGTCTCCAGAGGGCTTATAGGACTTCTGTCCTGGGTGCCGTTTTACAAGGTGAATCTTAGCGCTGAAATGATCGTAGCTCCAGTACCTTAACAGGGCGGTGGGATAGCCTAGTGGTTAAAGCTCACTCACCCATACCTTAACATAGACTACGGACATTCGTAGAGGGACGTTGCTTTGTGCAACGGCACCGTGCCCTTCACTGAAGCACGGGTAGCACACGTCGTGACTTCTCACGTAAATGACTGTTTGAAATGTGCTTCTGTAAGGTGAGATATTGACCTTCGAACGTCTCAGAGGCAGCTTAAGTTGTATGCTTACCAGTGAACCGGGAATACGGAACTCCATTCATTGGTGCTATGTCAGCGCATCAAGTCATATACAACAACAGCAGTCGAGACAGTGACCTATTATGGCCATGAAGTAATGGTGCATCAATTGAAATGTTGGTCCAATTCTCTGTGCAGAGTTGTGTACGTTTAGGGCGCAGGAAAATATGATCGTGTGTTAGAATTCCGTTGGTTTCACCAAAGTGGTTAAGTTTGAGGACCCGAATCACTTCGGCTTTCCTCCTGCTCGTACAGATAACACATCGTGCATAAACGGACGTACCGCATAAAACCAAGTTAAACCAAACTCTCCCACCCACTCACAAAATACGTCTATGTACCTTTTCTGTTTCAGCACATCTTTGTATAACTGTGGCGAAGTACCGAGGACTATTTATTCTAGAAATCCACGGGTGCACCCTCCCTGCTGGACCCCCAGCTCCAGGTCATATCACATCCATCACCGACTAACACTGACAGCAATGTGATGTTGGGTGAACAGGAACAGTGCCAGGCTCAGTGAACGTGTGCAAGGTTCAAACCCACAAACATGTTATACATGTGTTCGAAATGACCCAGTTCCACCAGAAAAGACTCAATCAAAGCCAATAGATCACACTGATGGGTTGACAGTCCGTCTCCTGTAGTAAATGAGGAATGGTTTTTGTTAGAACCAACAACATCGAGACTGATAACACGTGCTTGTAATGACGGTTCCAACAGCGTTGCTTTATAACATCCAAGCAGAAAGCAGCGTTATTTAAAGCGTATTTTGTTTGTATCGATGACTAAATGCCTAACTGATAACCATTGCTCGCTTGGTCGGAACCTGGAATAACCCCCCAAAAAGAGTCCCAACGCTTGAGAGAGCTCCAAAAACCATGCATTGATGCAGGACATGATATAGATACAGTGTTATCTGCGGAGACAGGATTGTTGTTGAATAGAAAACAAGACAAACCAACTACGATGGCAAAAACAAACCATTTACCCTTGATTGACGTAAGTAATACAAATGAGAGAGAATGTTGTTTAACGGCGCCTTCAGACATATCCCGGTGACATAAAGGGGGACGGGTTGCACATATTGTACCAATACGTGTGATCGAGCATCGAACCACACCGTCCCCAAGTAACAGGAATGCTTCCAAAACTATATTGGTCAATAGCCAATTAATGACTTCATTTCGTTGTTAACTGATCATAAACACATAAGTTACCTTTTCTACGCGGAAAATGTTCAATATATCTTAAATGTTCATTTATGCACTGTACTAAAGCTATGGCAACTTTTAGACTCATTCGTGACCACCTTTGACAAAAGCGTCACTAGTTCAGCATAAATATTTAGTTGGTATAGTTTAAAACACATTTCATACTTTGTGCTAAATGCTTGACAACTGCTAAAATTATGTGAATTACAAACATGAGAATGTTCATCGAATACTATGTATTGTTAGACCCTCTTTTGGTAAAGTTTGAAAGTGGAACCACCTGGCGTAAAATCAAACGTCAGGCAGGGATGGAGCGGGGACGCCGAGTCGTCCCAGGCACAGTTCGCACAGTGTTAAGCGTGCCAGAAACCCATGATCGTGGTTTCAGGATTGTAATCAGCATGCTTGTCCTTTTCACAAATTTCGTAAAATACCCAGAAACCTACATTATTTCTGGCTTTGCTTTCGCGTGAAAGTGAAGAAACGGACAGTATTTAAAGCTGTGTTCAAAGCTACCGATAGGGCAGGACATGCGCACCCTCTTCGCGAACACCTGGTGTCATCAGTGATTTTCAGTGATCTAGTTATATAATTTCAGAACTATTTTCCCTTTACACCAAACGGAATTTGTTTCTGATGATTGTCAAGACCGGTGATTCTTTCACACTGGCATTCAATATTAAATCACAACTCACTCGCTCATGATGTTTTAAAGGCTGGCTTGATGACTTGTATGGAAGTTGGGCCCAAACGGGGCTCACCAATAACACCTGTCATGTTGGTTGGTTGGTTGGTTGGTTGGTTGTTTTACTCCGCACTCAGCAATATTCCAGCTATACGGCGGCGGTCTGTAAATAATGGAATCTGGACCAGACAATCAAGTGATCAACAGCATGAGCATCGATCTACGCAATTGGGTTACGATGACATATGTCAACTAAGTCATCGAGCCTGACCACCCGATCCCATCAATCACCTCTTACGATACGCATTTGTTACTGAACATCAATTCTAAGCCGGGTCTTATGATATGAGTAATGATAGATAAAATACTGCATTTATTTCCAGATGAAACCATGCAAGCTGTTGCACAGAGGTCATGTTCCATACCCAGTCATCGTTCGGACAAAGTTAAGGCCTAGTGGAGTGTACAAGGTTGCCTACAGGTGGGAGACCATCTATGTCGGTTCATCAAGCAATATCATCAAGGATCTTCGGAAGCAGTTCAGTGGTAATGGCAAGCAGGACTTAATAGAATTCTTGCTGAATCTCCCCGAGGAGGAACTTGAGATGGTATCAGTGTACTGGCTGGATAAGACCATACATGTCCACAACTGTGGTAAGTCCTACCTGGAATGTATCACATACCTACAGGGAAAGAAACCAAAGTTTAACGACATACAACCGATTCTCTGCTCCATGTCGACTGCCAGTGTGGCAGTTGTCAATGCTGATTCCAAAACCTTCACACATGAAAATGGACAATCACAGGATGTATCTGTCCGACCTAGCAACGGTACAGAAGAGCGAAAAAAGGTTTTTCGAAGGAGATTGAGCTCGTTAGATAAACATACTGCACCTGATTTCAGTTTGATGTCGAGGAAGAGACCCGCGGAAGAGGATCGAGAGAAATCGCAGTTCCATACCGATTCAAAGAAAATGAAGACTGATCAACATGTAGAACATTCAATGCATCATTGTCTGACAAAGAGTCCCAAGGACACTCCTATCTGCCGAAGTGAAACAGCAAACTTATACTTTTCAACCACGGTGCCCAGTACAAACATGAACTTAAAGATGCAGAACATAGACACACCAGAGATGTCGCTGAGCAACATCCCAAGAAGCCCAGTCATGACCAAGTCATCATACAAACAAAGATCTCAGTCAATACGAGGAGCTTCTGTTGATATGTCCTCGAACCATGAAAATCTTACAACCCGTGAGTTGCCTCAACAGTTCTGTATTTCCCCCCGATCACCTGAATTTGAAGAGAGAATCCAACATGATACAGTTGGATGCATGGCTGGACGCACAAACATTAGAAAGGATAAAAATGACAATATCCCAATTTCAACTGTCTCTAAAGAGAACCCACCTGCCTGTCCTACCACACTACAGGTAGATAAGAATTTCCAAAAGAAGCTACAACTACAGCCAGCCGGAGATAAATGTGAATCGCCCAGTGAAGAAACATTTCGACATTACTTAACAGCTCCCCAGGAACATTCACAGAAAACAAACCCCAGTTTCCAAGCATCCTCTGAAAGAAATGAACAGACACACACCGTCAGTTCTACGCAGTCTCTACATACAGCAATACAACCCAGGCGGGCGTTAAGGTCCCCAGAGAAAGATCCAGGAACAAATGAACACTCAGATGAAAAACACAAGGAATCAACAACATGTGCTCGTGGAGGAAATGATCCCGAAAGGAACATACCTCCTGTTTCTTCGACATCACCTTCAGGTCTCGCAGAAACACTTTCTGTGCTCACGTCCCATGCTGTATCTGAACCAGAACCAGATACCACAAGGTCACGTACAGGTGTACCTACAAGAGATATCTCCAAACTGTTGGAGATAATGTTAAAAGCTGCACCCGCCAAACCGGGCTCTGTTGGTTGGAGTATAAAGCCTAGTGGAAGTAGGAACCTCGTAACAAAGAATGAGACAACATCTTTGCCGTACAAAAGCCCAGGTGCCAATTCTGTAGGGATGCTGGTTTGTGAGCCCATTGTCTCCAGTACTCAGACATGTCCTTCAAATCAGAGCTCTCAGACAAAAGTTCCATGCAAAGCATCTGGAGAGCAACGTTTACAGACAAACGTTCCACGCAAAGCATCTGGAGAGCAACGTTCGCAGACAAAAGTTCCAAACATAGCTTCTGGAGAGCTACGTTCACAGACAAAAGTTCCAAACATAGCTTCTGGGGAGCCACGTTCACAGACAAAAGTTACAAATAAAGCATCTGGAGAGCAACGTTTACAGACAAACGTTCCACGGAAAGCATCTGGAGAGCCCCGTTCACAGAGAAACGTTCCAAATAAAGCATCTGGGGAGCAACGTTCACAGACAAACGTTCCACGCAAAGCATCTGGAGAGCAACGTTCGCAGACAAACGTTCCAAATAAAGCATCTGGAGAGCAACGTTCACAGACAAACGTTCCACGCAAAGCATCTGGAGAGCAACGTTTACAGACAAACGTTTCACGCAAAGCATCTGGAGAGCAACGTTTACAGACAAACGTTCCACGCAAAGCATCTGGAGAGCAACGTTTACAGACAAACGTTCCAAATAAAGCATCTGGAGAGCAACGTTCACAGACAAACGTTCCACGCAAAGCATCTGGAGAGCAACGTTTACAGACAAACGTTTCACGCAAAGCATCTGGAGAGCAACGTTTACAGACAAACGTTTCACGCAAAGCATCTGGAGAGCAACGTTCGCAGACAAACGTTCCAAATAAAGCATCTGGAGAGCCCCGTTCACAGACAAACGTTCCAAACAAAGCATCTGGAGAGCCCCGTTCACAGACAAACGTTCCAAACATAGCTTCTGGGCGGCCACGTACACAGACAAACGTTCCGAACATAGCTTCTGGAGAGAGAGACACGGCCTTCGGACAAAAAGTTCCAAACATAGCTTCCGTTCTGAGAGAAACGTTCCCAAAGCTCAGACAAAGACAAAAGTTCCAAACATAGCTTCTGGAGAGACACGCCCACAGCCAAAAGTTCCAAACAAAGCTTCTGGAGAGGCACGCCCACAGACAAAAGTTCCAAACATAGCATCTGGGAGGCCGAAGAAAGACACTGATACAACGCAAGGACCTGGGGTATTCTCAGTGATCAAGACCATTGGTTCGAAAGTGTTTACTATGATGAACCCATTTGCTTCAAACGATGGTCAGTAACCATGGAAACGCTAAAATAAAATTGACCTGATCACTCCTTTGAACATGATTTGTTTCAGCTTTATTGTGTTTAGCTAAAGTTTGTAAAATTTGGTCAAGTCAGTTTTAAATGTATACTTCCTTTGCCCGGTTCTTTGGACCATGCGCACGCATTAATTCCACCGGGCGTGGAAGGCAAAACTTTGTTTTATGCAAATAATTATAACAGATACATGTATATTTAATGACAGTTAGCATTTATTCTTTCGGACAAACTAGTGATATCCCAGATTATTGTTAGCTGTACCACTGTTGAGGTTGGTCGCCCAGCCATCATTGGAGTTTTTGTTGCATCGTTTTGATTTGCTGTTTTGACTCACAGCTAAAATTACTCGGATATACTCTACTGTACCTATATGGAGTGAGTAATTACCATACTAACACGTTTTGCCACAAACATGTAACCTTCCACACTGTGTTAAATTGATGCTTGCCTATTTCAACTCAGACACTTTTTACTTTAATAAACGATTTATCGATGGAAGATTTGTTTAATTATCCTAAGATGTCTTTGTGTGTGTGCGTGCGTGCGTGCGTGCGTGTGTGTGGGTGTGTGATTGTGTACCCTTAAGTTGATTGTTTGATGTTAAACGCAGCTATATGTCTGTAAATGATTGAGTCTGAACAACACAATCCAGTGACTGACAATATGAGCATCGATCTAAGCAATTGAGATACAGTGACATGCATCAACCAAGTCAGCGAACCTTACCACCTGAACCCGAAAGTCACGAGAACCATGGATTACTGAAGACCAATTCCAACCCGCATCTTCACGGGTAGTATACCTTTTTGACAGGTACATTTATATATTGTAGGCAGGTTTAATTTGCAAACAGATAGCAGATGTAAAATATAGTACACGTGCAGTGTTTTGGTGACTGCTTATATCCTTGGAGCGTTTTGATACTATTTCTAATATATACTTCTCTTCAAAAGTTTAGACTCACCTTCAACACTCACTATATGTTATGTATATATATATATATATGGTTACATCGAAGATTGATTTTTCCACTAGCTTGGGGGAACCAACTGCAAACTTTATGCAGCTGAATTAACGAGGATCACACATCAAATTGCTGAAAAGCATGTTCAAATACCGTGCAATGTGAACAGTTGCGTTTTGGTGTAAAGTTTTGTTAAGAATTCGCCAAGTTTCACTGAGTTTCATCATTTATTGAACTCATCACAATAACATTTTCAACGTTACGAATTTGGTTTACCATACATCAGTTCATGTGTAAACAGTACCTTTAATCAGTATGGAATATTTTGCCAAATCTAGTTTGGAACAGTTACCTGAAGTACGTGGCTATATTTACATTAGTGAGTCTAAACGTTTGATGAGAAGTATATGTTCAGATGCAATTTTCAAGTGTGTACTTTCTTCTGCCCTGCAGTTCGTGTTATTCTAGGGACAAAGGCTTAAAGGATATTACAGTACAGCTGATCAGCCAAGATTAAGGTATTTGTGTTTAGCATGTTATCACTGATGGCATGGGGTGTCCTATTCTGGGACCCGTGGAGGCCCGGGTTAGAATTGATCTGCAGTAACCCATGCTTGTCGTAAGAGGCGACTAACGGGATCGGGTGGTCGGGCTCGCTGACTTGGTTGACACATGTCATGGTATGCCAATTGCGTATATCGATGCTCATGCTGTTGATCACTGCATTGTCTGGTCAAGACACGATTATTTACAGACCGCCCCCGTATAGCTGGAATATTGCTGAGTGCGGCGTAAAACTAAACTCACTCACTCATATTCCGGTTCGCTATAACAGGTTCGTTATAACATCGGTGTACCAATGAGGCATGTTTTGTTGATATGGATGTTCCGCAAGGTGTAACAAAACTGCCTCGACACCGGTGTTTTCGTTTCTGATAGCAAGCTACCTGCGGGATATCACCTGCAGCAGACATATTACTTCATCGGTGGCAGGTAATATGACCCAATTTCTTATTGAATGTAATTTCATTTTGTTATGTCGGTGGAGAAATGTGACTTCTGTTTATACTAATTTACAAATTTTCATATGGTTTGATGAAACGCAAAAACAAATTTAAGTTGCAAGGACCTTACGGGATTGGGCAGTATTATATACTCATGCCAATAATGGTTGTCACCCCCTTCAATTGTTTTAATTTGAGAGGGGTGTGGAGGTGTGGGGTGGGTTGGGGAGGGGGTGACAACCATTATTGGCATGAGTATACTTACTATTGGTTAAAAACTGTACACGTCACCATTTATGTAAATTCTACGTGTGCAGTGTCGCAGTGACCTGCCACTAGGTTAACAATGATGCACTATGTAGCTGATAGTCTATAACAGACACACACACAAGTACGCGTTGTATAGTTATGTCTATCCTCACACTGTATACATTCAGGGTTTACACACACACGCTCACACATGCATACACACACACACGCACGCACGCACGCACGCGCACACACACATATAACACAGCTCACGGTTGAAATGGCTAAACGTTGTACGGGTAGAACAATTAGACATGTCTTTCACTGACAGACTAATTGTTAACTCTCACATTTTAACACTATATAATCTACTTCAACACAACCAGACTGCTCCGAATCACCTATCTTAGTTCCAGGAAGGCCTTTTGATTACAATCATTCGCTGGTCTTGTGTATGCGTCACGTTTATCAGTAGTGCTCCATATGCATTGTTTACTTAGTGACATTGACATGTTTACAGGAAGAACATAGTGACACGCTCACACCAAAAAAGTTCTGATCAGGGTACACCACAGCATGTAAATCATATGACTCAGCTTTAACACAAGTTTTACAAGGCCTGTGGTGTTAGGGACTGTTCACAATTTATGGCAAGTAGGGGTGATGATGATATGTATGGTGCAGCATGTACAATGTGAACGAAGATCAGTGCATGTACAGTACAACCAGAAATTACTGAGAATTTAAAGATTGCAAATTTATATATATTTTTCACTCATTACTCACGTATTAAATGTGAATATTAGCAGAACATAACTCCAGATTCAAAGACAGGTGAACAGTTAGTATTTTGTCAAGTCACCATGGGCAGCAATGCAGGCTTCAATGCGGCGGGGCATACTACTGATCAAAGAAGTTAGAAAGTCGTGGTCCATGCTGTCCCAATATCGGACCACCTCTTCTTTCATTTCAGCAATATTTGTCAGATTTTTCTTATTGACACTTTCCTTCATAAGTCCCCAAACAGTTTCTATTGGATTTAGGTCAGGGCTATAGCTTGGCCAATCTAATAATGTCATATTTTGGGTCCGAAACCAGGCCTGTGAATGCTTTGAACGATGTTTTGGGTCGTTGTCCTGCTGGAAAATCCAAACATTTCCATAGAACACGTGAGCAGATGGAAGTAAATGTCCCTCGACAATATCTGTGTACCGCTGTGTGACAGACCTGCTTGGGTGTACACATCAATGTGTGACAGACCTGCTTGGGTATACAGGACAATGTGTGACAGACCTGCTTGGGTATACATGTCAATGTGTGACAGACCTGCTTGGGTGTACACATCAATGTGTGACAGGCCTGCTTGGGTGTACACATAAATGTGTGACAGACCTGCTTGGGTGTACAGGTCAGTGTGTGACAGACCTGCTTGGGTGTACAAGTCAGTGTGTGACAGACCTGCTTGGGTGTACAGGTCAATGTGTGACAGACCTGCTTGGGTGTACATGTCAATGTGTGACAGACCTGCTTGGGTGTACATGTCAATGTGTGACAGACCTGCTTGGGTGTATACGTCAATGTGTGAAAGACCTGCTTGGGTGTACAGGTCAATGTGTGACAGACCTGCTTGGGTGTACATGTCAATGTGTGACAGACCTGCTTGGATGTACAGGTCAATGTGTGACAGACCTGCTTGAGTGTACAGGTCAACGTGTGACAGACCTGCTTGGGTGTACACATCAATGTGTGACAGACCTGTTCATATTCCCTTCAAATACACAGAGGGGCGTTGCCCCTAACACACATATGCCACCCCACACGTTAAATTTCGGACTGTACTTTGGGCGCTGATACAAATGTTTTTTAGTTTGTTTGGTCCAGAATTTCAGTGTATTAGGAAACAGCCACACAGAACTTTCATCTGAGATAATCACATTGTCCCAGTTAAAATTTCTATGCTGTAAGCACCAGTTCAACCTTCGCTCCTTTTGTTCAGGTTTCATGATCGGTGATGGAATTCCTCTACTTTTCTGCCAACCCATTGCATGGAGCTCAGTTCTAATTGTCTCCTTACAGACAGCCACAGGTCCTCTATCAATCATATCCAGCCTTAAGTTTTCTAAACTCCTTCGTTTGTTTTTAGAAACAAGAATACCAAGCCTCCTCCTGTCACCGACTGTCAATTTTCTGGGCCTACCTGCGCCTCCATGGTGCTCAATGCCATGTCCATCTGCAATATTTTTCAAAAGACGATAAACAGTGGACAAAGGGATGCCTGTTCTACTTGAAATCACTTTAGCTGATCTGATGTCCTTGTTATACTCTAAAATCAACTTCCTCTTCTCTAAATCAGCCATTCTGAGGATCACTGAAAATGTCGTCTGCTATCAAGTAAACAAATGGGGATAACTCTTCACAAACTAATGAAAAAGGATTAACAGGGTTGTCTCTCTTGAATGAAACTAAGCACTTGATAGCTGGTCAAGGTTGTTTATATAAATACTAGAAATCCAATTAAACATATTCCTAAAATTCTCAATAATTTCTGGTCATTCTATATATAGCGGCATGTCTTTCGGTTTTGTTTTTTTGCTGGAGGGAATTGTGTTGTGTTTGTGTTGTTGTTGCTTCGGGGTTGTTGTTTTTGTTATTTGAAAAAAAAAATTGAATGCTTTTGTTTGTTGTTTTTATTGTGGTGTTTGGGTTTTATGTTTGTTTGGAGTTGTTTCTTTGTGGTTTTTGTATTTGTTGGCATTTTGTTGTGTGAGTTGGGTTGGGGTTTTTTGTGTTATGGTGTGTTTTTTGTTGTTGTTGTTTGTTTGTTTGTTTGGGGTGGGGTAGGGTTGGTTGTTTATTTTGTTTGTTTGTTGTTTGTTGTTTTTTTAAGGAGGGAGGGGGAGATTTTTCCCATTGAGTTTTATTTTTGTCTGTCCCTGTGTGTGTCTGTTTCTCTGTGTTTGCCTGTATGTGTGTGGACGAACACTGCTACCATGTCGAACAGTGGCATAGGAAAGGTTCGCACTGTTGCCGGAAACACATATAGTGTAGTCTACATAACGGCATGACAATGTTAACCCTGTGACGTATACCTCGGACAGTACAGTGACTCATTACTTTAGTCTAACACCCGTGGAATATAGAACATATCAACACGGGTTAAGTATGACGCGTTGATAACCCCGGAATGTCCTGACAACTTCGGTGATGAATGAGACGGTCAATAAAGAATGAAAATAACCAGACGTTCCACAAAAACGTGTGTAAAGCATACATATTAGAAACTTTCAATCCACATTTCAGAAAATCCCTATGTGTGTGTGCGTTGTGCGTGTGAGTGCGTGCTCTCGTGCTAGTGTGCGTACGTGGGTGTGTACATTATGCATTACAAAAGTGCATCATACGTTTCTGGGATCAACTGTTACTCGAGGTCCAGTTGCTGTGGACCTTATAACACATAGCGTTTCATGGGATTCGATAACTACAACAGGAGTCTAAGTTGACGATCTTGTGATTTCAATGGCTATTAATTGTTTGTCAACCCGTGAAGATCCGGGTTAGAATTGGTGTTCATTAACCCATGCTTGTTGTAAAAGGCAACTAAAGGGATCGGGGATCAGGCTCGCTGACGTGGTTGACAAATGCAGTTGCGTAGATCGATGCTCATGCTGTTGATCACTGGATTGTCTGGTCGAGACTCGATTATTTACAGACCGCCGCAATATAGCTGAGTGCGGCGTAATGCTAAACTCACCCATTCTTTTATGTGACACTGTTCCCCGACTGATTGCGACGTTCACAATGAAATACAAACGATTCAAATGTTAACATGGTGAATATATGCCCTATCCTTTCAGCACGGTGCGATGGAACCAGCAGAATTCAACTTCGGTTGCAAATGTCGTAGCTGCTACAGCTATAACGCTCCGGACGACGGTGTCAACTGCACCACGTGTGGATGTGCGCCAAGTGACCATACCGTCGTGATGAGGGTCAGCCCCGATGAGGATGAAGATGATGACGTCTCTGACACCTCGTGTGATTCATTAGTGCCATATTCTGAGAATATGTCTGGCACAACATCAGCCCCTCTGTCGGATACAAAGTCGTGGTCGCTCACGGACCCAAACGTAACTGTGGACTTTGCTAGCCTGTTGAAGACGACCAAGAACAAGAAACGTGCTTTGGATGATCTCAGTGGAGAACCATCCAAAAAGAAGCCGAAGGGTACTACGACTGGACCAAAACAGACACGGTTGTTCGTGGGATTGAGGTATGTTCTATAAAACCATCAACCTTCTCAGTAACAAATTCCATGAAAGCAGAACAAACTGGCATGTTGTCACTTACAACTTGACCATCGCCTCGGCGTTATACGTGCACTAAATGCACCGTCTAACCGACTGGTAAATTATTTACGGAAGAAGAGGACCCACTCCCATCCCAAAATACGAATGAACGGTGTTTTCATCCACCATTACCCCCTACAACACACACAAGTGCCACAGAAATCTTCACGTTTCACTTTTTTTAAAGACACGGCTCCACCACACTCATATCCTCTTTCGCTGTCATTTTTTCATGTCATTCCACCAACACCCCCTGCCAATAATCGTGTAATCTCACTCGCCCCTGTAATGACTGACCAGTCCATTAGCCCAGCTTCTAATGTGAAACATGCACTTTCTTTGACGAAAGGTCACAAATACGCAGCTCAAGAACCAATACAAAAGAAGCGATAGGAATCAAGTACTGAGTGAGTGAGTGAGTGTAAGCAATATTACAGCTATATGGCGGCGGTGTGTATATAATCGACTCTAGACCAGACAATCCAATGATCAACATCATGAGCATCGATTTACGTAATTGGGATACGATAACATGTGTCAACCACCCGCTCTCACAGCAATAAAGAAGTTCATCCATATATTGTTATCCTTCATCACGTAAGCGAGTTTGACCACCCGATCCCGTTACTCGAGTCGCCTCTTACGGCAAGCATGGCTTACTGAAGAGCATGATCAGTTCTAACCCATATAGCTGTGATATTGCTTGCTGAGTGCGGCGTTAAACATTGCTTTCATTGTCTGTCCATTTATCCTAGGGTTTGCTGAAGATGAAGCCATGCAATGTTCTGCAGACAGGCCACATCCCCTTCACCGAGATGGAACAAATCCCATATAATGTCAAAGGAGTGTACAAGATCGCCTACAACTGGCAGACAATCTACGTGGGCCCGATGTCCTGTAAGATCAAACCTACACTGAAGAGTCACTTCAGCGGTCACGGCCGGTCAGATCTGTTCGACTTTATTAAACGCCTGAGTCAGCGAGACCTGGAGAAGGTGACAGTGTATTATCTGGACGAAACAAAGTACGTCCACAACTGCGCAAAGAAAAGTTATATGAAGTGTATTGAAGACTTGCAGGGCACTAGACCCAAGTTCAATCTACCACTTACCAAAAAAACCTACTTCCAAATGGTGGTGTAACATCCAGTAAAACTACCAATATCAGTTATATAATTCATAAACCAAATATCTTACATCGACGAGAATGATCATCTAAGATACCCATAACTGAATCAAGCCTTTATCGTGACGTTACGATCGGCATACCGTTCCACTAACCAATCTTACCCAAGACAATCGTAATGTTAAGATTCAAAGTCTAAGTTGCTCATGACCAACTTAGGATAGCTTAAATCAATCGTAGAGAAACCAAAATGGTGGCTTTCCTATTCTATGTGAAAAATAAGAGCGAGCATTTCACCGTGAGCGTCCACTAAAATCCCCCATGAAATGAATTTGTATGTTTCTGTGATGTAAACAAACACTGCACTGAAGCCTTACAAATGTCAGGCCAGTCTGACCACTGTCGTCATGGGAACACAACCGAGCATTTGTAAGACATTTGTACAACAATATTGCAACGTCATGGTTAAGAATGGGACAGCCCTGAAGTGAACAATGTTCTGAAACAAAAAAGATACAAATATGTTTGATTTCACGTGCGCTTATTTGGTGGGGGATTCTAAAGGCAGGCCGCGTGTTATTCAAGACCACTGACAGATTCTAGATACGTTATAGAGGATGCCTCGTCACGCCTTGTTTATTCTGATTGACAAGGTTCAGACACATAATAAAAGCTCTGACACAATTCACATTTTTTAAGTCCAGACTTAAAACCTGTTCTCAGTATATTACTTATAATCTTGGCTGTAAATATTCTCGTGTAAATTATCTGTACACAGCGCTTTGAGCATGCCCAAGGATGTGGAATAGGCGCACTATAAATATGCATTTATTATTATTATATTATGCTTGATACCCAGCGTTCTCACGCACTTGCACCTGAAACCAAGGTGCTCACTACCCTAATATTTTGCTCTAGGTTTTTTCTCCACGTTTACACTTGGTCCGAAAAATACCCATGAAGGCCCAGATTAGAATACTGAACTTCAATAACCCATGCTTGTCGTAAGAGGCCACTAACGGGATCGGTTGGTCAGGCTTGCTGACTTGGTTGACACATGTCATCGGTTCCCAACTGCGCAGATCGATCCTCATGCTGTATATCACTGGATTGTCTGGTCCAGATCGATTAATAATAGCTAAGATACATAGCGTTCACTAACATGAATGCTCATGTTAGTGAACGCTATGCATCTTAGCTAGATTATTTACAGACCGCCGCCATATAGCTGGACTATTGCTGAGTGCGGCGTAACTAAACTCACTCACTCACTCAGTTGGTTCGTAAACTACTTCCATCATTTGCTAGATTATGCAAAGGGAGATAACTCGTGCCTCGCATTCCTCTGTCTCTCGCACGAAAGAGTCTCGATCTAAGCTTGGATCAGATCGTAAGATCGGGACCGGCTACGATCGGCCTAAGATCGGTTAGTGGAACGGGTGTAACTTTTAGCTAAGACGATTGTAAAATTGGCGTAACTTGCTAAGATTGATCTTAGATAAGATCGGTTAGTGGAACGGCGCCCTGGAATGTTGTCATCAAAATTCTTGAAAGCAACATCATCATGCTTCGGACTGAAGAAACAAATATTTTACCACAAAATATATATTGTTTGTAGATGTGTTAAGAAAGCGTTTAACTCGAAGTAAAATGCCTGGTTTTGCCGCTGCAGCTGAAATTGACATCAAGCACCAAGCACCACCCTCCCTCCCCACCCAAGAATATCAATGGTCGCAACCTGATACTCACGTGATCAAGTGCTCATGTCTAGCTATTGTGTTTATTGTTGTAGTGTTTATGATTTTGTTTCAAACTGTGAATAAAAAGTAAGTAAAGGTAGAAAAGTAAAAACATATTTCTCTTCTAATGGTTTTGTTTGTTTTGTTTGGGTTTGGGGCGGTGTGTGTGTGTGTGTGTGTGTGTGTGTGTGTGTGTGTGTCTGTGTGTGTGTGTGTGTTGTGTGTGTGTGTGTGTGTGTGTGTTGTGTGTGTTGTATTACGCTACTGTTGTAGATTATTTGGTTTATTACGCTACTGTAGATATATGTAATTCTGTGACTGTGCCGAGGACCGGATGCGAAACACATAATGTGAGCGAGTGAGAAGCATGTAAAAATACATGTGTATCGGTGTTTTTTTATGCATCTGTAAACTGAAATAAATATTGTTAAAGGTGATTACGTCTATTAATTCAGTACTGAAAAGGTCATCTTGGGCTGGGTAATTCTGAGTACAAATATAATCTTTGTATCAATAAAGACTTGGTTAAGAAATTAAACCATATCACCCATATTTCAAATAGAAGATGTCTAAGATACCCTGTTCAAGAATTTATATGGCTAGCATAGCTTACACCATTGCTACTGATAGCCAGCGGGATATCGTAAATCCTGCCGGGAAATCATGTAGCTAGCAAAAACACTGTTATAATTCCCTTTGCATAGGCGGAACTCTCGCCACCCCCCTCAACCCCCTTGTCCTGAATGTGTATTAAATGACTATTGAAACTCGTGAAAGCGGGTGAAAATGGACTGCGCGCGCACACACACGCACGCACACACACACACATCCTAAAAAAGATGTATCCGCTCCTGCCTTGATCCTCAATAGCTTTGAACAGTGCTACGTGGGGCTTAAACACACATTCAGTTACTAATTCATAAAGTGTGTAAAAAAGTGCAACCGTAATTCGCATGATATTAATCTTAACAACAACAAACAGAACTCAGCAGTAACCTCTCCCTAGCCACTCGGAGTTACCTGCCCTTACCTGTAGCTGACCTTCACCGTGAGTAATTTGGCAGAGACGGAAAGCACATGTTGGTGATTGATCAATACGTTTTAGCAGGCTGTTAACATCACATTTAAGGTAACAGTAAAAGTGTTGTTTTAAAAACTGGCAAAGTCCTTTTCCATTCATGTAACGTGTTTCAGTACTTACGGCTCAAGGAAATGACAATCAACAAAGCGTCATTCGTCCGTAATGTGCAAGCCCATAGGATATGTTGACCAAACTCCGGGACAAACTGTGATGAAACAAAGACCAGCGGTCCACCAAGGCTACTGACTGTTCTGGTGTCATTTTAATGTCATGTTCTCATTTTATAAATCGTCAATAGGCGTACATCATACGTGATATGTGACATCGCAGACAAGCTTAGGGGATGCAACTCTTCCTATTTCTCTAATATGTGATATAAACAATCATAAATACCCTTTGTGATATTATTAAGTCGAATTACTAAAATATATATGTGTAGAAGTTAATAATGATTGAACAAAATACATTAAATAGGGATATAATTATGCATTGTTACTTATTACTAAAACAAATAAGATGCTCTTACAAAGATTCATTTTTGTTATTTTGCTGTTATATTACTTTAAAATCCATGCATATTTTACAAGTAAAGTAGAAAAAACTATTACGCACTAAAACAAAATTTATCACATGTAACAATTTAAATGCACAAACCTCTAAGGCTCATCCTAGGTAAAAATGTCAAATTTCTTTGGACACAAAAACATTTTTGTGCAGTGAATGGGTCTCTTTGTCTTACTGTATCCTAGCAATCTGCAATGTGAAAGTTAAGAAGTAGCCAGTAGATACTAATGACCTTCCACATCATTAGGTATGGTGATAAAGAATCTTGGTCATACATATCATCCACACAGAATCTCATTTTAGGTCAATCAGGAGGTGTCATTTCTACACTGTAGCCTCTTTTGGTAGTGAAATGGTTAGATGTGTGAAGAGGACAACATGGAAGTTATTGTAATTTAACATCAAGCTAAAAATAACAAAACCTTTCAAAATGGTAAGTGTGTGCCAGTATGCATCTAGACATGCACAGAGGCATGTATTCAGCCCCAAATCTGCAAGAAATATCAGTTTGAATTCCAACAGTGGAGTGAAAATATACAAAGTTTATATTATAAATATAATTTCCAATACAGTCATGGATTTGTAGAGGTAGGTGACTTTACTAGGGACATGAAGTTAAAAACAACAAATTTTAATTACAATTGTACTTTAGGCCATACAGCCAAAATAGTGAATAAATTCTGTTCTGTTCTGGAAGGGGAAGAGTTTTTCATGCTCACTTTTATACTATTGAATTCCTTGCGATGTTAAAATTTATTATAATAACTTTTATAAGTCTCAGTTATTAACAAAAAACAATTTACCCAATTTGCCAGTCAAGGGCACTGAGTTTGGAATCCAGGAAAAGTCCTTCGTTCTGGAAACAGATGAACAGTCATTACTTTTTCTGGGGACTAAATTGACATTTTCAGGTGTACAATTAGATAGGGCATTTTTCAACGATGTAACTAAATTTTTAAATTTCTCTCAGACATGGAGGACAATCAAGAATTCTAGAAAATGATCAGGTCTGGAACACTGGATGGAGATGAGTTTATCTGATACATCCTATGACTAGCCTAATTATGCTTGTTTGGTGCTTTACAATATAATATAAAGCGCTCAGCAATATTCCAGCTATATTATGGCAGTCTGTAAATAACTGAGTCAGAACCAGATAAACCTGTGAGTGAGTGAGTGAGTTAAGGTTTACGCCGCACTCAGCAATATTCCAGCTATATGGCGTCGGTCTGTAATTATACGAATCTGGACCAGACAAACCAGTGATCAACAGCATGAGCATCGATCTATGCAACTGGGATACGATGACATGTGTCTGCCAGGTTAGCGAGCCTGACCACCCGATCCCGTTAGTCGCCTCTTACGACAAGCATGGGTTACTGAAGATCAATATTCTAACCCGGACCTTCACGGGTGATCAGGTCTGGAACACTGGATGGAGATGAGTTTATCTGATACATCCTATGACTAGCCTAATTATGCTTGTTTGATGCTTTATAAAGCGCTCAGCTGCTCCAGCTATATTATGGCACTCTGAACTAGAAATACCTGTGAGTGACGTCATGAGGATCGATCTATGGAATGGGAGATGATGATATATGAGATGAATCAGTGAAGTCAGCAGGCCTGACTGCATGATCCTATTAAAATTATCTGCTTCATAAGGATTGCTGAAAACAAATTCTAACCTGGATCTTCATGGATTCCATATTTGTAGCATATTTGCATGGAGCCACGTTTATATATTTTAACTGTTATGAGTAGTGAGTGAGTTTTACGCCGCTTTTAGCAATATTCCAGCAATATCACAGTGGCGGACACCAAAAATGGGCTTCACACATTTCACCCATGAGGGGAATCAAACTAGTAGGCTACCCGACCATCCCAAACAATTACAGGGTACATGGTTAGGTGCTGGGATGTATTAGATATATGTCAGGACATTTGTAGTTTAAGAGTACCAATGTTTGACCATCGTGAAATAAATTTAAAGAAAATGGTGATGCATGTTAAATTTATTAAAACAGGGTTGAAATGATAACAATTAAGATGGCATGGAGCAAATATGATAACTAGTCATCTGCCTAACTTCTCTGCATTAACGCAGGTTGCTGGATACTTCCTGATGTCCTACGTTGAAGACAAGCGAGGTGTTCCCCGGGGAAGCTGCGCATGTGGACAGTGTGCCCAATATGTACCACAACCTGAGGGACATGCATGCGGCTATTGTGGCTGTCTGCCAGTGAAGCATGAAGACCTCAGGAAGACGTCAAATCTACAAGAGTCCTTTCCAATTTTTGGAACTAAAACAGAAATTGCCTCAGAAGATGAACTACCTGTCATATATGGGCCAGGTAGACCTAGAAAATCAAAATATCTTCCGGACAGATCAGATGCCAAGGACTGGACATCTGAACAGGAAACAGCCAGACTCAGTGGTACAAAGACACACAGTGGTTTGGGGTCAGTCAAAACAAACAAAATACCTGGTGTGAGTCTGGCCCATGATAGCCAAGTACCTGGATCTTTCATTACCCCACAATATCAAAATTCAGATACGCTTAAGAAGGTAATGTATGGAAAAGTTTAGTATTTGTTTAATAATGCTTCTGTTTACGTAAAAAACAATGACAAGTCACAACTTCACTGTAAATACAAATGTCAGATTGAGAGCAGCAACGTATTCTGCGGAACAGGTATCAGTGATAATCAGTTAAGTATTCAATTGCAAACTTCTGTTGATGAAAATTGTTTTGTCTGGCAGTTCACAAAGTGAATATATTATAAATACCTTCTCCTCAGGTACCACCGTGTGAGCTCCTCCAAACAAGCCATATGCCGTACTATGAGCTGCCAAACAAACACCCAATGAGGGGTGTGTTTAAGATCGCCTACAAACACAAGACAATCTACATAGGAAAATCACTCAACATCCGTCGACACTTGAAAAGGCTCATGCCAGGGAGAATACGTCAGGAAATAGGCAAGTTCCTCAGAAATCTTCCGAAGAAGAAAATGAAGCATTTGACTGTGTCCTGGATCGACTCGGACGTACATGAGCACAATTGTAATGGGAAGTCGTACTTCAGGTGTATCACCAAGTTACAGGGAGAAAAACCCAAATATTCCTACCCTAAAAGGTACACCGAGGATGGTGGAGGAGCTGCAGCTGTACCTACTGCCATCGTGTCAACACATGGAATCACAGGCATGATCACAACTGCTGACAAAGATTGCCATATAGAGATGGGGGATGTTGTGCCTCACAAGAGTAGTGGCTCTCCAACTCATAGTTGTTTCATTGGAGTTGATCCTAGACAAGTAAAGAAGAAGAGGAGTGAATCTCCGCAGCAATCACACAGCAATCTCACTGGAGCTAGTCAAGGTAGAAGCAAGAAGTTCTTGGGCAGTGGAAACCTTTTGAAAAAGAAAAATGATGATGTAAGCGAAAGAGACAAAATGACAGTTTTTGAATCAGACGTCCATAAAGTTGAGTCTGAAGGGGGAAAATTAGCATCACTCAAAGGAACATGTCAAATGAACCACAAGAAACCTAAAACAACTGCTGCGAACCTGCTCTCTAAAGCACTTCAGACTAAATCCACAAAGCATTTAACCAATGCTCCGGCAGCTCTTGGCACAAAAGAACACACCACAAAGACGAAGTCATGTTCCGTTTTACTTAACAAGAAAATATATTACATACCAGAAGCAGACGTGAAGAAGGCGCCCAGTGAACATTTGGAGAAGAAAACATCAGAGACAGGGGAATGCCCTGGAGTAGAAAGAGTCAAGGCTTTATCTTCCCTCAAGAAAATCCTACATGTGCCATCAGCTGAGGAGACTAGAGTAACCAAATCTTCTAAAGTAACGGTACTAAAGAGCAAGACATCCACGAGATACATGGACACCACTATGTCACCAGCACCAGGTCAGGGGTCTTTTGAAGTTTCTGGAGAAGAATATCATTTGACTGATATCATACTGAACACGTCAACACCCATTCCCGTCATTCCAACTGAAGAAAAGAATGAGTTGGAATCAATATGTAAAGAAGAAATATCACACAAAGAATATTCCTCACTGGGTATCCCTTTCACTGAAGAAGATAACCAAGAATGGATTCCTGATATTTTGGCTGATTCAGAAGACGCGATGAAACTCATCATAGATGAACAGCAATGTACATATTCACCAGACACGTCAAAAGACGCCTATGAAAACTTGCCAGAGAGTCCAATGGCTCCCTTGAAGATGGAACATGATTACAAGAACGAGGTTTTTAGATCTGATTCGAAACATCGTCCAGAGGAAGATGATGCTTCTGTTCCAGCTAGTCCTGAAAACAAAGAAGGCAATCCAGAGTCAACACCTCCCATATCAACACAATGGGTGTCAATGAGTCCGGTTCGGTATCAGCATCCAACCAAAGCATCAGCAACAGATTCACTCAGAACTCAATCTGTGCCAATGATGTCACAGATTCCCCATTCATTTGTAGAGAAGAACGGAACTTTTATGTCAGAATCTTCGGATTTATCACATTCTATCAACAGTTGCTCAGTGACAAACAGTAGACCAGAAGGTTCTACCGATGGTACAACTCAGTCCAGTTCCACTGATGAGAGAGTATCTCCAGGTACGCTTCCTAGAAAACATCACGCCACGAATTTGCCCATTGCCGTTGATGACACAAAACCTGTTAAAGAATTTTGGGGCAACACTGCTTTAGACTGTACCACCAAGTGTCCAGAAGGAAGGAACTCTCGTTGTGACACTAGAATTGTCGTTTGTGATCAAAGGTCAGAGTCCTGTAGTCCTCCGACGCAGTACAGGAAGAGGCCCTATGTGCAAAGAGAATCATGGCCTATGTTTGATAACATCGAACACTGGAGATCTCATCAACACCTTTTCAAATCTTATAGCTATAGTAGGTGCTACACAAGGCGAGAACAAACTTCGGGGAGGGTCGAAGCCCATCATGTAAACGTGAAGGACACAGCCCTTGTGAAGATAGAACGTCCGGCAGGGCCCTAGTTGGTGCAGTACAGGATGTCCATGGTACGCATGGTGTCTAGACTACTTCAGGAGGCACGGTGGCACAGCAGCCAAAGGCGGCTGTACGTGTACTTTCACGCAACTGATGATTATCGGTTTGACTTCCTAAACTTTGGTTTAAAGTCCCGACATTGATCCTAGGTCGGCACAGAACCCCGCATTGATTTACTTCAAAACAGTGTGTGAGTGAGGTGTTTTATTCGCAGCTTGTAGGAATGTTCCAGTAACGTCACGGTGCGGCATGCCAGCAATGGACTTCACGTATCGTACCTATGTGGTGCTCCAACACACCAACACCAATTTCAAGTAACCACCCGTGATATAATAATTGATAACTATTCAAAGCAGTGTTATCCCAGTCTTCCAGCTACATGTTGATGTTAGCGCTAGGAAATAGTTTCATTTGTGTGAAAAAAAGCAATACCGTGCAAAGAAAGCATACTTGCATGTTTATTGGTTGCTTCATTACACAAACATGATAGGGTAATTCAAAGATTATGTAATTGATGCTTCTATTATAGCTGAGTTTTTTACCTTTGGTTTGTTGTTTTTCGGGTACTGTTACGTAGTGGTGGTCCGACTAATTGAAATAATCGAAGATTGGTCGCAGTGACCAAACGACCAAGCAATCGATCACATTTTCTCATAATCGAACATAAACGATTTTGGAACTACTGTTTTAGTCTTTGAAATACTTGACAATGGAACATATCTTAGAAGTTGTCAGGGCCTGAAAACATGTTTATTTCTTAGAAAACTCACTCCACTAACTGAAAAGTCATGACTAAATATTTCTCTAAGACTCCAGGAAGTTTATGTTCATGATATATTAGTCATCACTTTAATGTAGCAAGTAGCAACATGTTATACTTTTCTGCAGTAACAACCTGGATAGGAAAATCTGAAAAATGACGCTAACCAATTTTTTTCGATGATTGTTCGTTGGTAATGAAGCAATCATCAATTGTGAGATTTCAACCAATTCCCAACACTACTGTTACGTTTGTAATTATTATTTCAAATCAAAGCTTCGGGTGTTTACTTCCTTTGCCCTGCATTTGTATAATTCCATTTGCCCTTTATTGTAGAATTCAGTGTCTAATGAAGTCTATAAGGTGTTCCTTCATTTCTGTTCATATTGAAACAGTTTGTTGTGTACGTTGCAAGTTCTTTGAATGTTTTAAAGTTGTTGAATGTGTTTAAAGGTCTCGCATTGACTGCAGAGACGCCATGTATTGGTGAGAGCAGAATACAGAGTAAAATTCTGCTCAAACACAATTCATTTATAGCAGTTCCCAAATTCGGACTTAATTTCACTATTTGTTACTTAAAATTATTCCCAAGTTTAGTAATGTTGTTCAGTATGGTTTCAATATACAAGGAAAAGGAAAATGTTACCTCTGTGTTTCTTCCTAATATTGTAATTTGTTTGTCTTCGATTGCAACAAACCGGAATGGGTTACTGTTTTCTGTTTCGCAATTTATTAATCACGTTCATACCTACTTTCGCACATACCTATGTTTTCAACCTTATGAATTAAATTTAGCCAATCATGATACTGGTTGTACTCTTCTGTTGTTGTATGTTGCTTGACGCTCATTCGGCTGTATTCCAAGTATATGACGGCGGTCTGTAAATAATCGAGTCTGGACCAGACAACCAAGTGATTGATATCATGAGCACTGACCAACGCAATTTGAATACGACATGCATAAAAAGCCATGGAGTCACACACACACACACACACACACACACACACACACACACACACACACACACACACACACACGATCCGTTAGTCAAGCGTTAGTTGCTGAAAGCATGTTCTATCCCGGATCTTCTCGGGTCGTACGTTTCTGTTAGGAGAATCGGCTGAAGCAATCTGCTGTGTGTGTGTGTCACAGTAAACGACTGTTATTGTCATTGGACTTCTCAACAATGTCCTAATACAGTAAATCTTTTCGTCCTTTTCTGATGTGTCCCGACCGAAGATCTGTTTACATGTCGTTCAACGCCCTGCAATATTCCATATATATCACAGCAACCTGTAAATGATCGATCAGGCGACAGAGTGTTTTCTTTCACTGCAGCGTCAGAAAGCGGCTTGTAACTCTTGATCGGGCGCTGATAGAGATTTACCGTAGATTAACTATAGCGTTCCCTTTATTTATAACAGTGTTTAACTCCATAGTGAATGCATGAGTCAAGAGAGACTGGTCGTTCTTCTTGGTTATCAAGGACTCAAATACATGTAGTATTCAGTTGTGCAGTCAAGGGATTTGGGAGGATATAAATATAATTTTCCTATGCTTTTGATTACAGACACTCATAAACTAACTCGCACATATCTATGGAATAAAAATAATTATGAGTATAGGTATAGTTCAGTTTTAACTGCAGAACACTTTACACGCGTATCTAACCATATCGAGTTTAACCGCAGCAGTGAGTAGGTTATTTATATACCCAACACGGTGTCCGATATGGCGACAGATCACTTCCGGGTTTACGCGTTGACTACAGCAAGGCGGTTAACCGTTGTCAATGTATATAAATAGTCGCGTCATGCCGTGTTGTCACAGGTAGCCATATTTCTCTACTGAAGAACTCTTACAAGACACAAGGTAAGGAGCTGAATCTGTTAATGTCCTTCGTTTTCATTAAGCTATCGGTTAATATATATTCGCTCTTAATATAAATATATACTGAATCTTTGTATTCATAGCGGGGGATGAGATTGATATTGAAGGGAGAGATTGCGCTGCATTTTCGCCTAGTGGATATTTTTATTATTGGAACTGACATGTACATATGTGTTTCCCAAACTGATTTTAAGTATAACTAGTAAATATGAAGACTAAACGAATTTCAATACAATACGGCCTAGATTGATAATTCAATACCTAAGGCATGTTAGGCTGGAATAAAATATCCTATAATAATGCCGATGTGACGTAAAGTCCAACCCAACTCAACCTTAGGCGTGTAAGGAGTAATAAGATATTGCAAATTAAAATTGTTCTAGTGGTTATCAGAAAAAATATTGTATTGTTTGAGGACTATCAAAAGTGTCAAAATGTCTTATCTAGGATATAAGCTTACCGTTTCCGAAGGAGTGTTTTAAATTATTCGTGCCCGTCAGTAGTGTTGTATTGGGAGGTTTGAGATACAAATTGATCTACAATCACTGTATCGTCTTCTACAGATAACAGGAGTATCATGGGAAAGTGGAACCACAGCAGAAACCCCTGGAACTCCCCAGTAAGTATAGTCTCAGCCCTGAGGAAGGTCGCTGTTCGATCCCCGGCTGTGTTACAATGTAGTACTTGTTACCCTGCCTGGCCATCTGCGTTAAGGGGATAAAAGAAGGAGTCTGGGGGTCCGTATACTGTGTGTGAGTAGGGTACCTAGGTTAATATACGGTTTGATATATCAGTGGGTTGTCACAATAAAAGGGTTTAGTCAGGACATGTTCACACACATACTAATAAATGTGGTTGACCTTGTACCGTCCTATCTGCATGTCTTTGCGCACATCCCAATAGACCACTCAAGGTTTGACTGAGATATTATACTGGTGATCCCTAGCAGACTTTTGATGAATAGCACATCAGCATGTATAGTGACTGACTGACTGACTGAGTTTAGTCTTACGCCGCTTTTAGCAATATTCCAGCAATATCACGGCGGGGGACACCAGAAATGGGCTTCACACATTGTACCCATGTGGGGAATCGAACCCGGGTCTTCGGCGTGACGAGCCAACGCTTTAACCACTAGGCTACCCCACCGCCCAGCATGTATAGTGAATTTTTAGTGCAAATGGCATTCTTTCACTTCCTGGGAACTCCCGCCGACCAAATGCCAGGCGTCTGTATACTTCTCGGCATACAATAAGGTGGAACTGCAGGTGCTTGTTTACTGAGTCTGAGAGCTGACTACACTGAAAATATGTGTCATCTTACTCCGACAGAGTGGAATGTTGTTCATGTTATCGACCTTCGGTTTGACTTTCCCAATTATGAATTGTATATATGTTGTGATAAGATTGGAATAGTCCTTACTGTAGCGAAAAACTACATGCATTCACTTTGTCTCAAATGTATAAGGTATTATACCCGTGCCAAAGCGTTGACTATTGGAAATTCGAATACAACAATTTTCCTGTCGACAACGTGGACATTTGAAAAATGAACACCAGGAAAAATGTTATGAGTTGTTTGCCGTGGTTTTTTATCCTATGGAATAGTTTTCGAAAATGTTTCCTTGATTGCAGGCAAAGAGAAGCGTCTCTCAGCTCCTCCGACAAGAGAAGTTAATCCGGTGCAGCAACACAACGCACTTATCAAAGACAGAAAACAATATTTTGGAAACGCGCGCAAGGTTGGACAAACTGAAATCTTCCACTCCGCCAATCAACGAAGATCTCATGAAACTTCAACTACTGTGCCACTCCGTCACCTTTGTGACGTCATAACTCTCTTCAAATGACCGTCCAACCATCATCATCTACTGCTTCACTGACAATGAGTCATATTTATAGATATGTACTCGACAGTTAAAAGCATGTATGACATGTATCTCTGTACATGGAACCCTGTACTTTTAGCATGTGTTATCATATGCCTGTGATGTGTATCATTTCACGGTCTTTTTTTCATATATTGAAATAATACATTATTATATACTATATATGTAAAGTGTATCTTCTGTGCTTGGGATGTTTTGCACCGGGACGTCGACAAATGTTAACGATGCATGATCCAGGACGTCGACACAATCATATTAGCAAGGCATGATCCAAGTACTTGAATGTCGTAAACTATGCATATCCATGTACGTCAGTATATAATTATATATAAATGATGGATATTCAAGTTCCGTGACCTCCATGCGTGTTCCTTAAGAGAACGGTGTTAGACGTCATGATCCAGCACATGATTGTTACTGTCTATCGAACAAATATTCGTTTTTCTTTTCAAGTTGTGCATTTATTATGTGTATATCACACGAGGTGAATAAATAGTCACAAATGACTTTGAGTCTGTTATCCAAAAAGGTTTCATTTGAGTACAGGAACAAACATGAAACTACAGGTATTGTCACCAGGAGAGACGCTGTTACAGTTGAGTTAAGTCGCCCACAGCGAGTGCAACCAAGTGACAGGAAACATTCAGTGAAGTTCGTTCTTTCATGGAATTCAGGAACGATGTGGACGCAGTAAAATCATGTTAAACTTTGTTTCCTTTGTCTAAACGACTAATTATTTATCCTATTGCTATTTTTGTCAAATGTTTAATGTGATACGGATTCGGAGAATTAGTCCCGCGACACCTTTACTGGCACAAGAAGTCACTTAATTAATCGGGTAGTAAAGCTGTTTGGCTGATTTGCATATCATCTTAGACAGCTGTTATATCAACCACTTGATAGTCTGACCTAGACTACAGATTGGAACATTTCCGAGTGCAGCGTTATGCGACGAACAAAAGGAGGTAAACACGAAATCGCCTTAGTCTGGGAAGAGTCAAAACCCTTCTACCGCCAGAGGAGGATCCAGGATTTTGGAGAAGTGAGGCTGCACATATTTCATAAAATCTAAAGGTTAGGGGGAAATGCTCTTCAGGTACAGAATGTGTGTGTGTGTGAGAGAGAGGAGTGAAGGAGGAGGGTGTCTCTCTCTCTCTCTCTCTCTCTCACTCACTCACACACACACACACACACACACACACACACACACATCCCAACACCACCGCCTTGATCGCAATGATCCACACTCACCACCGATCAATGCCAATCGAACTCAGAAATTCAAAGTGCTGATACAAATGCAATATTCTTTCATGCCTTTTAACTCTATTATTTTCACAACAGGCATGTTTAGTACCCAGAACATCCATGCATGAACAGTGTCCATTCAAATCTGGGCTTATTTTACAGCAACGGTCGGGCAGAGATAAGTATTCACTGGAATACTGGATTTTACAAAACAATTACAAACATTACCAAAACTGTAATACTCAGAAAACAGTGGTCGATACACTGCTAACGTCAGGGCCGGAACACATTCATGACACCCGTATTAAATACATCACCATTTCAAAGAACCAGTTCATATTGTTTCACCATTTGCCACCATTAAACAAGCTTATGTTCGTTCATTACCCGGTAGTGCACATGATCAGTATGCTTCAAAAAAGCTTGTAGCCCCATACGAAAGATACACACAAACACAACCTCCACCCTCTTCATATAAGTGTAGCAAAGTCACTTGAACGTACTAATATAGCTGTATCATTTATCTGACGGATATTTACACCCAACATAATAGATGATCATGGAATATTATTCAGTTAGATACCATGGGCTAAATTTGAACCAAGTCTTTATTTGATATGATTTATTATTTGACTTCCTGTTTTTCCACAAAAGTAATCCGAAAGTTTTCAGGAATAACGTTACCAGTCATAATAAGAATAGTCCTGATCATGCACATGTATCCTTGCGCTGTGGTAACGACAGTGACTGTCACCAGTATATATTGTAAGGCATTGACGGAGACTTTCACTGGTCGACATGTTTCTCAATCTCAAACTACTGAAGTCCAAATCAGTAGACCAGCGAATACATAACATGTATCAATTTCAGCTATAAATGTTTGGGGGTTTTTTCTGTGTATTTGAAGCTTTACAGTACAGCCCCGTGTCAACAGTACGCTCACATGATTTATCCCTGCATGAAATATATACTGTATATAGCAACATTATGGAATTCTATGTGTATCAGAATGCACATATATTCACATACATCCCATTCTCGGTCTCCTTCACTTCTCTTCTCCTTCACTCACTCACGCACACATGCTCTCTCTATTTTAGATGGTGTTGGGGGTGGGGGAGATGAAGAGTTCATTTTCACCCGTTTTCACGAGAGATTTGATGGTCATTTAATAAACTTTCAGGACAAAAGTATCCTCTGGATCCGCCTATGTTACGCCTACGTACATGTACACACGTTTGTAAAATTACTCCTACAATACGTCTGTTACTTGTTTGGTAATCAGTTGATATCTCCTTGATGTTCTAAAGAGGAAAAATTAAATAATGAGTACTTAATATTCTGTATCCTGTTCAAACACAATCAGCTTGCAATATATCGCACAAAAGTATTTTAACATTGACGCAGTATCAAATCTTAGCCCCAAGAATTGTTACGTGGTATGCAGTAACGGGCCGATCTTGAGACTTATCTCCCCCTTCAACGACACTTCCGTGTTTTCATTAGGCATTCGCTGATGTAATAACAATACATTCCAGCAATATCTGACTCAAAAAGGTAGTGTATTCACACTTTTCTACACTTTGTATATAGTCATAGTGCTTAACTGATGCGTTTACCAGCCGTGTCAATACAAAGGCAGAGAACGAAAGCGCTTTTTTCCCCACAAACTTCTCCGTATTGGTTTCTTTACAACGAACTGACAATCTTTGTTTCAGTTTGTATATGTACCTACTTTTCGTTTGTCATTCCTTTAAATCGCAAGTATCCCTGTGGTCTTCCGGATGTTTATTTACTACAGTAAATGTGATGAACGTGTGTAAAACATTTCTTTTATTTGTTATGTGTGTTTAACGAAGTTAAATTCAAACAAAGCTGACTCTCCCTACCTTCCAGTTGGCTGACTCGTGCACAGATACTCCAGACAAATTCAGTGATCGAAATGTGATATTGCTAATTAAAACATGTTCAGCACTTACATGGCACTGTGAAATGGATTGTCATTCACCAGTAAACATTGTTATTGTCAGTCTTCTTCTATATAAGACAGAAAAATACTTCCTACATTCTTTTTTTATACCATACATTAAAATATCAATATACACCTGTTAATCTATTTATTGTGTTATTGCATTGTATAATCATAACCGCAGAAGACCTGGGTTCGAATCCCCACATGGGTACAATGTGTGAAGCCCATTTCTGGTGTCCTTGCCGTTATGTTGCTGGAATATTGCTAAAAGCGGCGTAAAACCAAACTCAGTCAGTCAGTCAGTATAATCATAACAATAAGGTTAGGGGTCAAATTCAAACTCATTAAAACAATATAAACAAAAATGATGTTGTACACATGTTCATCACATGTGCTGTAATCATGGCAATAGATAAACACCCGGAACATAATTTCATCATGTGTATGTGTCAGTCACTGAAACTGTAGTGAAAGGTAGAGCCTGCTATTAATTGATAAATGACAATGGCTGCAATGGTTGTATTAATTTCGTTGAAATAACAAAAGCAAAATTGATGTTTGTACATATGTTCATCAGTTCTGCTGTAATAGATAAACATCCAGAACATTATTTCAGCATGTGTCAGTCAACTGAAAGGTAGAGTCTGCTTTTAATTGATAAAATGACAATGGCTGTGGTGGTTGTATTAGCTTTGTGGAAATCATATTACTATTATTAGCAAAATAGGTGTTGTACACATGTTCATCAGTTTTACTGTAATAGATAAACATCCAGAACATTATTTCAGCATGTGCCAGCCAACTGGGAGGTAGAGTCTGCTTTTAATTGATATATGACAATGGCCATGATGTTAGTATTAGCTTCATTGAAATAATATTATCTAAATAGACTTTTTACACATGTTCATCACATCTACTATGTCTACTGTAATAAATAGATCGTCTGAACACCAGGTGGGAAAGGAATGGGAGCTTAAGTGTTTAACTGGTTTATACAGCAAGACACAAGACAAATATACCAGGAAGTGATAGTAATGTTTGTCGAACAGAGTCTTGCTTGTCATCCAATTGTTACAAACTGATCACTCTTTGACACGGATAAGGACAGAAAGTTGGTCTACTAAAATGTAATGAAATATAATTATAAACTAACTAGAACGACTGAAACCATGTGTTTCATAGTACATTTATCAGTTTGTTGCCAGTGTATGAAATAAGCCAGAAACCTATCCAGACATCAGAGCTGGTAATCAAAATGTTACCAGCCCAAAATGGATTTAACCAGACCAAACACCAAGATATGTTGAATTTACTCAAATTTACTAAAGAAATTACCAGACCATCGGACTGGAAAGCTGTAAATTTAGACTGTTCGTCAGAAATCTGAACTGAGGTTGTTTCCACACGGTTACATGAATCAAAGGGATGTGGTTGTGTAAACTAATTAGGGCTAATTGAGTTGAAGGTGTCACTTGTTTGTTATTTAATTAGGATTAATTAAAGAAAGATTTAATCAGGAAGTACTCACTGTTACGACTAAACACTACTGATAACGGATTATAGTTTCGAATCTAAACATACTGAGAAGCGTTTTGTTTTCTTTCATAGTGATATGTGATGATATGCCCTGGTCGGATGTCTCGAAGTTCGGATAACTCAATATTTTTTCCTGGTCCCATGAATATCGAAACAATGGTGCTGGACTGTATCTTTTTCATGATGAGATGGCAGTGTGGTAGGCTAGTGGTTAAAGAGTTCACTTGTATCTCCGAAGACCATGGTTTGATTCCCCAAAGTGTGAAGCGCTTCTCGGGTGTCCCCCACCATGATGTTGCTGGAATGTTGCTAAAAGCTGCGTAAAACCTCACTCACTCATTTCATGACATCATTAGGGGTGAAACGGTATACAGTGGTATAGTAGATCTGCAGTATTTTGCCTTCGGTTCGGTATACCGTAATGAAATCCATTTTTTCGGTTTTCGTACCATCATTTTATTAACCTTTTTAAACATTTTGTAAAATGTCTAGAAATCGAATCATTTTGTCAAAATCTATGCATTTATTTGCTTTTCTTTTCTTTTCTGCATTATGATCATCATACCAAGTCCCCGCAATATGTACCGCGGATCAAACCTAACATCATGGCCTTGTACTGACTGACTGACTGAGTATGTACGCTACCATGTTAAAAGCATACCGTTTCACCCCATAGAATATCATGGCCAAACATCTGATACATTGACAGCTTACTAGAGCTGTGACGATATATCGTAGTATCGATAATCGTGATACTTTTTCTGACAATAAATATATCCATACTTTTTTTCGTATCGTGATATGTGTATCATTGACCTTAAAATTGTGAATTTTCACTAGAAATTGACGGTTATGTCAAAATTTACAGTGACTTGTTACCAAAATACACCTTTTTAAAGAAAATAACTAAAGATAGCATATCGTGATATGTATCGTATTGAATCGTATCGTTCCAAGATATCGCGATACGTATCGTATCATGAAATGTCTGTATCGTCACACCTCTACAACTTACAGTTGGCAGTGTTAATTATCACACATTTGATTAAAATATTAAGTTTTCAATTGAGGTAAGGACAGATATTAACACGAATAAAGTATTTCAGTAAGGATCAATATTTTTTGTTCAGTATGTGATCAGGGAAGTAAAGATCCCCATCCAGTAATCTCCCCGCCAATCAGGCTAATTACCCACAGACAGTACCTTAGTTTCACTGCATTATCTCAACCTGTGCAGGAAACTGACCCCAGATCATCTGGCTTCGCCTCTCTTAACATTTTATTGGCGGTGGGGTAGCCTAGTGGTTAAACCGTTTGCTCGTCAGCTGAAGACCTGGGTTCGATTACCCACATGGGTACAATGTGTGAGGCCCATTTCTGGTGTCCTCCGCCATGATATTGTTGGAATATTGCTAAAAGTGGTGTAAAACAAACCCACTCACTCACTTTAACATTATGTCATGTTCAGGAAGTTACACTGACATTGTAACAATGGTGTGATAATGTGGTCACTTACACAGCATCAGTCAGGGCTTCCAAGATACTTGATAGAGAAATGATGACTGACTGAATATATATTGGTGGTGTTGTTTATGTTGTTGATCAATTGTCATGGCTCGATTTAAGGAACTTGATTTAACTCGACACCAGACATGAAAAGTTAGTGAGTGAGTGTGGTTTTATGGCTTTTTAAGCAATATGGAAATGGCTTCCAGCGTTGTATTAATGTGGGCAATTGAACCCGGATCTTCAGTGTGACGAGCGAACGCTTTAACCACTTGGCTATCCCAGGTAGTATGTTTTTTGAATGGCAGTGCTTACCAGTGTTTCCGCTATCCGTTATGTACCGGACTTTGACCGGTAATTTCAAAGGCTGTCGGTCATCGTGTCTGGCAAATTCTAAAATCAATTTTCTCTTTGCCTCTGTCAATTACTAGTATATTTCTCCTCGAAAAAATTATGTTTTCACAATGACATCGAGGTGTTGTCAAATAAAAATTAGCAGTTTTGGAAAATCCCAGGCTAGAAAAAGCGGCATTGATGCATTGCGATACCCTCTACATTTCTGATTGATAGTTAAGGTGCAAGGTCTCGCAGCACAATGAAAAGCGTGATCATTGACGGTAAAATTTATAAATGACCCGTATTTAAAAGGCTAGCCGGTCATAATGTCCAGCTGTAAAAAATGCCAGTGGAAACACTGGCTTACTCCAGCTGTAGCAGTGGTTTTGGCATCACACAGACATTGCCAATTATTTAATAATAGCTCGTGTTTAGGTTAGCGTTATATTTTATTAATTACTGAGATATTTTAAAATTCTTCACGTGACTAGAAAAATAATAGTGAATGTTTCTTAAATGTCTGATAATCAACAATACAAGGACACGTACAGTTTATACATAACACAGTAGTATGGTCTATAAAGCACAGAGTTGTTCAGTGTGTTCAGAGATGAGTAAGTGTTGTCCGGATATGTAAGGGTTAGTCAGACACAGGTTTGAAATATCTTGACATGCACTTGCCACATGCTTGGTGTATGTAGTCATAAATATTAGTTTGCATTTTTCTGAAATAGTTTGCACAGATACTTGTTATAAATCAAATTCTTAATCGGACCCTGATTGGAAATTCATGACTCCATAACTATTGTTTAACAAGTGAAACTGAAAAGTGGCCTGAATTTCCAACCCAAATTAACATAATCTGGACGTGAAATACAAATAAATATTGAGCTACATAAATTTATGGTCAATTTTATTTATTTAGTAAACCTGAAAAACTTAATGCCCAATAAAATTAACATGAATCGAAAAAGTAGTGTTTCTTGTTATATTTCAAGCAAGCCAAACATTTTACATATTTGTAGAACCTCTTTTCTTTTTCTATTTCCATTACTTGCTCACTCACTCATCCACTCACTCATCCACTCACTCATTGCACGCACCCACTCACCCACCCACATGCAATGTATGGGTCACCTTGTCCTATTGTCCTATATTACTCATATCTGGTCCTTCACTTACATCCACACTGGAGCCTTACACAATGAGGAATATTCCCCTGAATGTGAAGCTCTGTGCTAGCATGGGATGTTTCCTGGTATTGAGAATCGTCCTGGCTTTAAGTGTAATACTCTGTGTTATTGTGTATTGATTTGGCTGTACATGTGTTGTACATGTGCTGTTCTGGAGAATACCTTATTGACAATCTGGTCATGGTGTGGTGGCTCCATGTGAATAATGCATAGCAGCAGTATAGATAAGTAGTACCAGCATTGATTCCTGGGAATGATCTCAACTGATTGTATCCCTGTTCAATGATTAGTCACTGATTTGGCTTCAGGTTCAGGTTCTTGAAGTCCTGTATAACAGCAAAATCTTTTGTTGAAGAAAAGTTATGGTAACCCACTTTTGAATCCCCACTTTTGAATCCCTCTTCAGACAAGGTTGGAACCTACTAGTGTCCTCTGCATGAATCTTTTTCTTAATCATTGGTTAATGCATTCTGCCAAACATGAAAAGTGGAATGTAATTTTTTTTAAATGAATTATTTTTCACTTCCCAACCAGGTTCTTTTATGAATGAACTATGTAAATCCAAAACCTGTGAAACAGATAATGCAAAGCCTTAGTTTTCAAACATACCGGTACCCCCAAATCACATGTATCAGTATGTCTTCCAAATAACATTATAGTTGTCTTACTGGAACAGTCCAAAAATTTTCCTGTTGAGTTAGTTACCAAAATTCCATTATAAATCATGCACACAACTGTCAAGACTGATGTACTGAAAATATATCTTTTAACCAAGGAAAAAAGTATACCCTACTTTTAAATGTGATGTTAGGTTTGTTCATGAACAAAGATTCATGTTTTTACCAATTTTGCACACTTCTAACCCACACTTGTTACCACTCTTGTACTACTTCTAAGCATGATGTTTTCCTTCCGCAGTGCTACAATATGGCAGAGCAACCTCAGGCCGCTGTCCAGGGTCTCACCTGCGGGATCTGTCTGGACAAGGTGAAGCAGTCGAAGCAGCTGCCCTGCTTCCACACCTTCTGCAGGGACTGTCTTGAGAAGCACATCAAGCACTCGAACAACACTGTCACAGACCAGGGGAAAGAGGTCATCCACTGCCCCCAGTGCCGACGATCCGTTCCTGTTCCTCACAATGGCGTCAACGGTTTCCCCAGCAGCTATTTTGTGATGGCGAACTGTGCAATGTCGGAGATTGAGTCAGGCGATATGACATGTGGAGTGTGTGGGAGTGTGGACTCTGCTGTCGGGTTCTGTATTGAGTGTCGGAAGAACCTGTGTATGTCCTGCAAGGAGCTGCACAAGAGTGATGAGAACACTCAGAACCACCACATCCTGGTCATGGGGGATGGGAGGAAAACTGTTGAAACTATGGAGATGTGTGAAAAGCATCCAAGTCAGGAACTCAAGTTCTACTGCACCGAGTGCAAGGTGCCCGTCTGCACAGATTGCCGTCAGACAGTACACTATGGTCATGAGGCTATCGACATAGCTAAAGCTGCAGACTTAGACAGGGAGAGGCTGACTGACATGGTGGAGGAGCTGAAGATGCTGGTGATAAAGTTCAAGGCTGCCAAAGAGAAGGCTGATGAGGCACGTGACAGGATGAAGGTGAATGGGGAGGTGGTGGTCGGTGCGGTCGAAACGCGAAGGGAAGAGGTGAAGAGGATGGTGGAGCAGATGTGTGACGACGGAATCAAGTTTGTCCAGGAGAAGATGGACGCAGAGAAAAAGGCCATTCAGGCAGAGTATGAAGACATCAAAGAAGACCATGACCTCCTCCTGAGATCCATTCAGGAGTCAGAAGAAGTTCTTCGACTCAGCGCTGCAGTACAAATTGTCCGTGTTGCTAAAGATATCAGTGATGTCCTCGAGAGATATGCTAAACTTCAGGCTAAAGAGTTGGATGAGAAACAGACCATTTTTGCAACAGGAATATATGGGACTCAGATTCTTAGCAACTTTTGTGGTATGTTTGGCTTTGAACCCTTGAAGCTTAGACCAGCCTTCCATTTTGAAACTGACCACTTTGTAGAGTTCAGCCTTATTCCTGTGTCTTCAACACAAGCATGGGTGTCCTATTACACCTCTGAAGGAAGTGCACTCGTAAAGTATGACTTCAATGGGGAGAAAAAGGAAGATATTGCCCTCAAGCCTGATGGAAATACTCGAGTTGTTAAGCTCGGCCGGGAGTTTCTGATGACATCAAAACAGGAGAGAAAGCTGTACATCTACAAAGGTAAAGCGGAACCTCTGCAGGAGTTTGCAGATGTTGGCCTGCCACCCAGAGGTATGGTCCTTACACAGGAGAACCAAATTGTCCTCTGTACATCAGAATCCAACGGAGACTCTGACAATGCCCTTCTGGTGTTCTCAGAGCGGGGCGACCTGCTGCAGAAGGTCATTGAGGAGGATGGCAAGAAGATCTTCATGGCCCCCAGGTACATCGCAGTCAACATCAATGGTGACATCTGCGTGTCTGACAAAGGAGCCAGCTGTGTAGTCATCCTGAATAGGAACTTCCAGGTCAAGGCTCGCTACATCCCACCAGAGAGTCTCAAGCTTCGTAGCTCATTCTGCCCTCGAGGTATCTGCTGTGACAAGTTCGGTCGCATCATCGTTGCTGACGGCTGTAACAACAAACTACATCTTCTGTCTGCCCAAGGTGACTTCCTCCGCTTCCTCATGGGGGAGTCTGACGGCATTAAGTGGCCACGCCTAGTTTCCACTGGACCTGGAGACAAACTATGGGTGGTCTGTCGAGGAAATGTGCAAGTTTATGACTACCTTGACAATTAAACCATAACCTGCGGACAGGTGAAGTCAGTACAAGGAACATACCTTTACCACTACCGTTTAATGTTAGTGTACAATGCGTCAATCAGCAGCATGTCCTCTGTTCATACTGGAAAGAATTAATATGAAATGTCAAGGTTCACGGTGGTAATGTCCATTTGATATTATGTATGGCAGGGGACTGGGATCATATTGAAAAAGGAAATCTGTCCCAGAAATGCTGTGAAAAACTAATTAGGCTTCAAACTGTTGAAAAATATAGTCTGCTACAAGAAAAATACCCAATGTTGTTTTGAAAAAAAGAAATGTTGAGGCTCAAAATTTTAATTCATAAACCCTCTGGTTTTGCAGCTATAGCTGAATATTTAACTAGTTTCCATATGAAATCCCAGGTCTATTCTGGAATATGTAATGGTTGGTTCTCAAATACCAAAATCAGAGGATACAAAGAAGCACCTATTCTGAACTCAGTCTCAACATAAAATGTGTGAGTGACTTAGGTGTGAGTGAGTACGTAAGTAAACAGATGTGTGGGTGAGTGAGTGAATGAGCGAGTTAGTTAATGTCTGAGTGAGTGTGACACGAGTGATATTCTTATCCAAATGAACAGCTTCAATTGGCATATTCTACAAACTATTGTGTCATGTTTGTGAATCAAATATATTCAAATCATAAAGTGTTATATAACCACAGTATGCTTCATTGATGTTGCATGTGTTGAAGGCTAAGGCTTTTTGTTACTGTCTGCTAACAGAGGATCTGTTGAGATGTTTGTAAGATGTATGCATGACTCACTCTGATTAATCTATTGATATGAACAGGTTGTCCAAATCATTTAGCCGATACAGCCATTAAACATATGTAATTAAAACATTTGTATTATTCCGAATATTGGTATTGTCAATCACACGAAGAATGCATTTATGATTTCATGATTTTTTACATTGTATGTCTAATTTATTAATTTATCGATTAGGATCTGGGTCCCGTTCCTCAAAGCGATCGTAGCGCTAAGGTGATCGTAACTCCCATACTTTAACATCGACTTACGACAGTCGTAGCGCTACGATCGCTTTGAGGAACAGGGCCCTGGCATGTATTATTGGAGAAACCATGTATAAAAGTTCTTTTTAAAATGTATTAAATTAATGGCATATGCTCATTGCAATGTTAATTTTGAAAAATGTGTGATGCATATTGTGATACAGACTGTTAGATATGCATAGACTGATGATAGTACAGAATATGTTGTGGTAAATTCATAAATGACAACATTTAGCCATGATTCTTGTCAAGCAGATGGATACCAATCTTTTTGCTGATGTTTAAGCATTATTGATGCTGTGAATATGTTTCCTGAGAAGACAAAGATACAGTAAGGGGTGAGGCTGCCTATGAGATTAAGGGTCTTACTTTGAAGCTTGAGTTGTTGAGAACTGCCATGATATTCTTACTACGCAATCAATGTTTGCCACACCCTGCTGCAATACTCATGTCCACGTGTGTCGTCCATACTTCATGGTCTTGTTGACACATCATCCATCACCCGTGACATTTCTTATTCATTGTGTAGTCATGGTTTTACAGCCAGGCAAGGTTCCAGTGTGAAGAATGCTAGCAAGTGTCCAGCCAATGAGGTTTCAGTTACACCTCACAAACGGTTAAGTTCTTTTCAGTTTGTCCAACACTTATGACCTAGCCTTGCAGTCATCTGCTCCATGTATTGCCTCAATGCTGTTTGATTGTGTTGTTGTAAATATGATGAAAAAAGATGATATTAGAGACAGTTCATAATTTATGGCTAGGGGGAGGGGTGATGATCATTTTTATACAGCAGCATGTACAATTTGAAAGCCCCCCCCCCCTAAAATTTACGTACAAAGTAAGTGCCCCCCCATATGATGTACAAATCAGTGACCCCCTCCCCTCCCATAATATTTGTAAATATTCTTATGTACTAAATTGCTTTCCCCCCAAGTTCATGTCTACAAAATTGATGCACCCCCACCTCCCCAGAACAAAGTGGGTGCCCTTTCCCCCAATAAAATATCATCAACCCCACCCCACCACTGATCACCCACCACCCCTAGCCATAAATCATGAACGGTCCCTTAGTGAGGACAATTTAGCAATAACGTAAGGCTATGACTCAGGCAATGGTAAGATACACCCAATGTAGGGCTCATTGGATATTCAGTTTGAGATGATTAGCAAACAATGTCAGTATTGTCTGTGGTGTTATTTACACCTTCCTTCAGTGGAATCAGAGAGTGTCTTCAACATTCCTGCTGGTATAGTGTGTATCCTAACGCATGTGGTTAGACATACATGTATATAGATGTAATCAAATAGCCCCAGTATTGCTATGTTGTGAATTGTTTCAACTAGAATATGTTGCTATGGCTTTTGTTCCTGATTTTAATGGTGCTCGTAGAAAATATTTTTGAAAGTAGGAAGAGGATGGTATTTGTCAAATACAAATAAGGAAATTCATCTGTTGCCATGGTGATGGATGTGAACGTGATTGTGTCAAGTTTTGCATTGGACTCAACATGCTCAATAATAACAATCGCAATGTAGTTGAAATGGTATTAATTTGGGAAATACACAAACCTGGAACAGATTACTGATTTAATACATCATACAAAAATCATGCTCAGTTTACTTAAATATATGAGTATGTAAGATGGTCATATTACCACAAGACTTCATCAGATCATAATCTCAATGTCCAAAACATTTTTATAGATCATTGCTTTGCTTATGTCAGTGTTCCTTATAAGTGGATGTCGGTAGTTTCTTATTCAATAACATTCAATAACATGTCAGTATTATAGACTGACAAATGGTATGTTCCTCATGGGTTTGAATTAAAGAATTTCAGCTTTGTTTTGACGTAGTGTACAGGAGAACTGTGCAATTTTTGAAAAAGGTCATTTGTGTAAATTTACTGTTAATGTTATTTTAGATGAAATGATGCTGTATCATATCAAATATCATATTTTTGTGACATGTTATGAAATGTTTATTAATGCTATTAGTATCAATGAAATATTGCAGTAATATACTACAAACAAAAAATAAGGGAACACCCTAAAATTTGATAGTCGTATATAAACTGAAACGTGGTGAGGTCATTTATACTCTAAGGTAAATGCAACTTTTTGTGTGCTTAGTGGGCACTTTAAACGACATGTTGGAACATGCAGTGAAGCAACTGATTCAATATTGGTTGAGTTTGAGTCTGTCTTCCACATGCACTAGGCTGTTGTGTTTGGGCGTGTGAATCAAACCTGGTGCTGGTGTGTTTCAGCACCCTTGTTTTTCGCTGTTTTTAACAATGGTTCATTTCACTCAAACTCAACGAATATTGAATCAGTTGCTTCACTGCATGTTCCAACATGTTGTTGAAATTTTAGGGTGTTCCCTTATTTTTTGTTTGTAGTATATTTTCAATAAGATGTCACAAAAACACTTTCATCAAAAGCCAGTTTCTTTCTTATGGTACAAAAGCTTTATTTGGGTTATTAGGTGAGAATATGCAATAGCTCTTAATATCTCTTCCAACACACAGATCAACTCATTAATGAGAAAACAAGCTAACAGTAACAAGTGAGTTGATGAAAGTGTTTGACATCATGAAATTTTCTTTTTTTTAAAAAACATGCTACGTTCCCCTCTAGTGAAGAGAATATATAATCACCATGGCAACTCATCATTTACTGCCTCAATGATCTTTTAATGTGTAACGCTCAATTCCAAGCGTGAATTTACAAATCAGTCACCGTCACATTGCTTTCCCTCCAGTGCTAGTCAGATTACCTTCATGTTGAAACAATGCAGTATTAGGTAGTACATTGATCCTTCGATTACTTGGATGGATGTTTCTACAGTTTAACTAGTCGTAATGTGCAAATTCAGATTTGGACTGTTCCTCTTATTTGTTTCATACATGTTTGCAGTCTAAGTAAACTTAGGCTCAGTATTATTCGTTACACTACTATAGTGAGTCTAACAAAACCTAGTAGAAGGTCGCGTCAGCTAACCTTTTGAACTGACCAATCAGAACACAGCTTACCAAATCACGAAAGTTCACATTCGCACATACCGTTTGAACCTTTACCTAAAAAACTCGAAAGATTCCCGAATGCTATTTTCTGCACGATCGCTTCCGAGTGATACACATGGAGGAAGCAATGAGTAAACAATCGCGTTTTTGTCAATATTCAAGGATGTCATTTTGCGGAGATATAAGCTAATAGTAACCATGTCATTAGAAACCCCTAAGCGTATATGCTGCAGGTCCAATATCTGTGTTTCATGCGGATTTTTGTTTGTTGATAGATCAGTGTCAGTGACCAAGGAAGAGAAAATCCAAAAACCGTTTTGTAAGTCCCGCCAAACCCTAACAAGTAGCAGTTGTCTGATTGGTTAAATCCGTTCAGCTATCTCGCATTTGATTGGACGGTCATAGGTCGCTCATAGGTTAGCTGACGCGACCTTCTACTAGGTTTTGTTAGACTCACTATAGCAGTGTAACGAATAATACTGAGCTTAAGTTTACTTAGACTGACATGTTTGAAAAGATTGTCAGTATGTAAATGATTTATCTTCACAGGTAACATAATATTTGTTGAGGATATAAAAAATGTTATGATATGAATGTTTAATTGAAAACATACCCACCCTCATTAACTGAAGTGCATCAGTGATGGAGTGGAGACTCACCCAAGCTCCATACAGGGTATGTCCCTACACTCAGCTAGGGAATGTATCAGAAAGTGTAACGAGCTCAGTTTGATCTTTAACCTGATGAGATCTCCTCACATGTGTGGGTTTTATTTTGTTACAATTGAAATTTCTGAATCAAGGTGGTAAAGAAATGAATCTGAATCATTTTAGAAATCTGACATGTGATTGAATCATGCAGGCTTTATTTTGTTAATAGACTGTGCAGTCAAAAGTTCACTTAGGGTTTATGACATCAGACCATCACACACAGAGGTATAAAGATCTGATTTTAGTGAGATTGCAATGAGGTTTGTTTTCCCCATAAAGCATATTCATACTATGTAATGCCGTGATTCTTGTCAAAATGCCACAATCAGTTCTGAGGATTCTATATTTAGTTAGCTATCACGATTTGAATTTCTTCTCAGATCAATAACCTCATTTATAACAGAATGTTTTTCCCCATACCAACATAGCTCAAACAGAAAAAAACTTTTTAAAGTTCACTTGCAGTTTTCTTTTGAAATGTGCCTATGTTAGACACATTTGCGTTATAGCTGAAGATTTGTGTTGTGTTCTACCTGGTTTGTGGGTGCAGCAATATTTGGTGCAACTGCTTTACTGGAAATGTCATATCAAGTTGAAGCTTTAACTTCCAACCATATGTTTCATGTCTCCCCCTCTGATTAGAATCATCCTCAATAATATTTGTAAGCATTTTCATTATTTTTATTGATCTTAATTAATCTTAATCATAAGGTTCTTGATTACCCTAATAAATAATATACAATGTTTACTCTAATTTCAACAAGTACTACTGAAAATGGGAACCATAAGTGGAGTGTAGTCCATCTTTAAGATATGGTGCTTGTCCCATCTGACAACATTTGACACAGAGAAGATTCTGGTGCAGAGGACATGGAATATACTTATTGATGCCTGTTGGTGTTTTGTGCTGGCAATAAAAATGTGTATCATAATCAGGAACGGTACCTAGAACACATGTTTATAAGCCCAGGGCCTAAAAAGGGATGTTTTCACCTTTTACGACTGAGTATTTGTTCCACAATAATGCACTGAAAATAAATATGTACCGTAATGAAAACATGTATAATAATGGAGAATTTTAATATGGAATATTCTCGAATTTCTAACAATCTGTGAAAAGATTATCCTCATAAAATGTATGTCTGGATAAGATCAATAGAAATTCATTTCTTCATTAATTACCAATGTTAGAAAAATTAAAACATATGTTTTAAGCCAAAACGCTACATGCAACGTAGGGACTCAAATATGTTAGTAAACCGGTATGTGAGAAATATGTGTAATGCTTTTCTGTTGTACGTGAATCCAGATTGAAGTCAAGGATGTATTTGCTTTCTAGTCCTGTCCACTTTGTATTGAACCTCACTGTTTAAAAGGTATGGGCAATTATCCCCTATGTCACATACAATGGTCAAGGTTGTGTTTTAGTCATCTCGTCTTTTCTAGTCTTAGTAATGGCAGGGTAAGATCCATTAAGATTTTAGCAGTCAGAAGAACATCTATGAAGCAGTGAACTGTAATAAGAATTAGAAAAAGATTTTTATCGATGTGATCAGATTGTGTTGAAGACAAACCCGATAACTGCCCATCTGTATGAGTCATACATACTGAACAAAAAATGGATATGAATATTTTTGTGATATCTCTTTGTAGTGAAGATTTAGCTTACAATTTCATGAAAGTATCCTTCAAAATATTCTTGATCTTTGACATTTTTTACATATATCCTACTACTAGTCATTATCATAAATTAGTCATGAAGTAGTGTTTGATTACTGCCAGTAAGGGATACACACAGATCCTTTTGGATCAACAAATTGCATATACAATGGAAACCACCCGAGTAAAGACCGCTTAACTAAACAGACCGGATAAGTAAACACTTTTCTTTGGTCCTGGCAAATTTCTTCATTAATTATCACTATTAGAGTTTGGTTAACTAAACTCGGATAAGTAAACAATACCGCTTAACTAAACGTCTTCTCACTGTCCCTGGAAGTAAATTACTTGACAAAAGAGACCGGATTACTAAATTGGTGATTACCACATAATCTGACAGGAGAGGCACCTGTCAGTCTCCAGCTAAACAAA